GGGGAAAAAAATAACACAACGAACGAACGAACAGGAAACTAATGCAAGGTTCGGTATCGATTTTCGGTAACTTCATCGAGGTGTCAGATTATAGATTTTATTCCCGGTATATCGAGTGCGTGTTTACTTTTATAATAGAGACCCACTGACCGATTTGTCGTCCTACAGAATATTTTGAATTCGAAATGTCACTTTTCTTGTTTTTTTTTTGTTGTTGTTGTTGTTGAGAAAGTGTTCGTTTGAAGGCGCCCGCGCACATACGTCAGAACTATTAGACTTCCTTCGTTTTCTAAATTTATAAGTTCAATGATCTCTGAAGATGATCAAAACATCTTTAATGCTCAAAAAGAAAGTGGTTTGTCTATTATTTTTCAAATGAATGACGGCAGTAGGTCAGTAAAAATTGAATTAACTTTAACAATAAAACTACTATACGTATATTACATTAATTTAACCATGTTTTCTAAAAATGCAGTTAACAATGTATAAATCCTATTTTTTTCAATAATTGAATAAAATTTTTTTTTATTTTTGAGGTTTCTCGAAGTTATCTTGATAATATTCATTGCATGCATTTATTATGACGTGATCAATTGTTGGAAAACTTGGACTGACATTTTTTTACTTTATAACATTTTCCAGTTTCTTGTGGAGAAGACTATTGTATTTTGTTTTACAATGATAATTTTTGTGTTACAATGAACTTTAACCTCCAACACATCAACCATATTGATTATTGGTTTAAGTCTTTGAAATTTTCGCATTTCAAATTATAATCTAAAATTATATTGGTTTGATTTAGATTTTATTTTTAAAGACATACATTTGAATATATGGTAGAATTATCGATAATTCGTCAATGAATAACTAATATAATTCTTGATTCTTGCTTTGACTTATATAATAATTTTGACCTTACCACTTGCAAATTTACAGATACTGGCACTTGCCACCTAGCGGTGAAAACTTAAAGTGCTATAGGATCGTAAAAAAGCATATACTATTTGTAATTATTTTCATTACGGTAACATATTTTAAGTAGTTTATTAAAATAATTTTTTAAAAATAAAAATTATTCATACGATTATTAGGAATTAGACTGTTCAAGAAATCAATCTTTTTGAGGGGAGTCATACACCAATTCACTCGTCTTTGTCATTTTTGGGATGTAAACCACAGTTTAATGTCAATCTACATTTTCAACATGAAATTGACATCTTTGAGCCCTAAAAATGTGAAAAAAGTTGCAGAATAGGCCGCTGCATCTAAAAATAGCTTACTTATGTTATTTTCAGATCAGAATTTTTCAGGTGGGGATCCCTGATAAGAATAAAAATCTTCAGAAAAATGGTAAAAACTTCACGAAAAAAAGCAAGAAATAAAAAAAATGTTATTAGTGTTTTTGAGCAAATATTGAATTATAGAACTGATAAACAAAGATCAGATAAGGACAAACGAAACTAGCTAGACTTCGAGACGAAGTCGAATTGCGGCTCCGTCCAGCGTTCGTGCGTTATCAAGGTAAAACGTCGAAATCGTCCGATATTACAGACGCAGCCGATCCGAAGTAGCGCGAGATACCCGAAAACTTGTGTCGCACATTTGCGACATCTGCACGGGTCGATGTCAATAGCATGTCTTAGCCTCAGCTGAGATAAAGAGCATCTCAAGAAAAATAGAAAATTGCAAATAGAAGAAAACGCGCTTTTACCCGTGTTCGATAATAATCGAAATTGTCCTATGTTATGCGCGGCCCGCACTTTGATATACCGTGGATTCGCGTAAATGTAATGGAGAATAATAAATTCTCATACTATTGAGGGCAAAAATCTCGAAAAAGGGTACACCGGGATATATAAGCAGAGGGAAACTCGTGCTCGTTCTCTACCGTTTTACAAATTTTATGCGGTTCGTTACGGAGTCAGTTCTTTCGAGTCGGAGTCTAAGTAGTGCGGGGACGAGTGCGACCGTACCGAGTTCAATCGTGTAACGAGTGTACGAGTGGGTAACAGCGAGTTATCGTGCGAGGACAGAGCGAATGAACGGCGTGCAAAAACTGGGTGTACTGAGTGTGCGAGTTGAGAGAAATTTGTGCAGAGCGAGGAAAATAGAGTAATCCAAGCTGTGATCGTCGTGCAATCCGAGGTTACTGTAACCAGCCATTGCAATCTGACAGGAATAAACTTATTTTTTATGTACATCTAATATCTTTCCATTGAACACCTTTCCGTCCGCATAATAGACAGATAAAGTAAATAATATTTACGGTAACAGGGTAGAGATGTTCAGCCCTGTATCTCGGCTCGTTACACCACCTCGTCCAAACTATCTAAATTTTTTTCTTTTTCTCTCTATTTCTCCTTCCTAAAAAGGCCTGCAGGAACTTTATAATTACGATTCAGAATAATTATATAAACTATATAATTTAATATATTACCAACATTCTGAACTCTATAATTGTTAACATTGCCTAACATACAATGTTTAGTTTCATAAGTTCAATGACCTCTTAAAAAAATTTTCTAATGCCCAAAAACACTTATCAATGAAACCATCGCACCGCAATTTCTCTATTTACAGAGAAAAAGTATCCCTGCCTTCAACTCTCGAGCAACAGGTAAGCAAAATGATACAATTCAAATTGTTTCTAAGAAAATACAGAGATTTTTTTACTTTATATAGTGCCATCCTTTGATCAAATTTAGGTCATTGCAAAGAAATTATAGACGCTCATCAAGAGAAATATGTCTCGAAAGACGTCAGAAAAAGTATGTATTTGTTTTTTCAGTGAAAACTTTCTACTGATACTAATAGAATCACGTGAAATGAGCAAAAAAGCGCCCGCTGATCACGTGAGATTTAACAGAAAATGAGACAGTAATTAAAATACGGAGTAAAGAGGGGAATTTCATACTGTAAGATTATGTACGTAATGCCATTAATGAAGCAGGCTGAAATCATCGGAAAGTTCGGCAAACTACTATCCATTCAAAATACCAAAGGTTTTTTACTAGTCCTTCTACTAATCATGTCAAATACATATTCAAGATGATCTAAAATTTTGACTATCTATATTTACAGAATATAGAAAAAAACTAAACTGAGCTCAAGAGATAGACGTGATGATTATTTAATAATCGTCGAAAATTAACAATTTCATCCTCAAAAACAAAATTTCAGCGGTCAAATGTAGATCAAGTTCACAGTGACGAATTGTTTGTTTTGGATTATCTTTTTCTTATGCAATGAACTATACTTTGAAAATAAAGGAGGAAGATGTATGAATCTTCTTTAAAAATTAAAAATTTTTATCGGTGACTTGATTGATTTGATTGTTTTGGTTGAATGCATCTTTCAAACTATTAAATACTTTTATCAAACATCATGTTAGATGAAAAATATATACTTTTTTAAATTTACTCCACTCTCAAATAACAATATATTCGTACTCTTAGATATACACCTTCGATCAACACTCTTGGGACTCTCAAATGTATATACGTGCGATCGGATTCGACTGCAGCTTGTGTATAAGTGTATGCACATGCGATCACAACCTCTCTCGTTCACCCAGTCGATGTTGGCATTCGCCCTCGCATTTAGGTCGACGCAGACGAATGCATGCGCGACGCCGAAATGGCCCGGTATTCGAGCGAGCGCATATACATTTAATATATACGTCCATGTGTGTCGGTTTGTGTGTGTATTCAGTGCCGACGACATGAAAGGACTATTTGAGTTTGCAGTCGATTCTTCCCTCTCACAAATATATACACACATATCGAGACTATGCAACGACGACGACGACTCGATGCTTTCTGCACAATTACGTGAGTGCAGCATACTCTCTCGTGTGCTTCTATACCGAGAGTCGTACAGCAGATTTTAACATATACGTAACTTTTGGAAATTGCTCCGATGTGCGACCCTGATTTATTATATTATATATGCGCTCCGAGGAAGAAAGTATACAAATATTTGCATTTGGAGCTGGTTTTCTTTTACCTCGAACTGCATTCGTCTTTTTAAACCATTTGCCGCGCGCTTATGCCTTAATAACGTAAAGTGCCAGCGCGCATTACCACATTTCCACGCAATATTGTGCGCGTTTGCAAGTTGCACTTTCGATTCTATACGATCTTTTCCTCTTCCCCCGTAATTCAAGGACTCCTTTTTTTTGGGCGAAAAAGCACGCCGATTACGAGTAAAAAAAGTGCCTTTTATCGTAAAGTACTCTTCGCTAAACTAACGCAATAAAAATGCTAAATCCATCCTCATCATGCGGATGGCGCTTGCGATATATATATTATTTGTACTTGAATGCGGTCGAAGGCTTCCCGAATTTTCGTCAATATAGTCGTTATTCGTGCGGATAAAAGTTTGCTATTTTAAAGCTTTAGTGCTTTTACCGAAGTTTGAGAGCTTTTACATCGATATAACGTGTCGATAAAAAAAAAGGAGAGAAAATTTTTTCAATCTACTCGATGTTTGTTTAGAAAATATTTATTTTCCATCCAAAACTGATGTACCTTTCGCAGCAAAATATACGTAATATATTATTTCACACGGATACATACAGGTAAAAATATGACCGAAAAAGTCGGATCGCGTGCTGCTAGAATATCATTTTTGAACGTGCAAGTTTTTTTTCGGGGCTTGGCGCAGAGAGACATTGACGCGCTTGTATTAGGATAGCTGCATTGCCGTGAGGCCTCGCGCAAACCAACAATGATAGTTCTTGCCTTGACGCACCCTCGACGAAAAAAAGCACGAATTTCAAACGTCGGCGAGTCGAGACTTCTCGCACACATCGCGTATATCGTACCACCTAACATTTCGCGCGAATATTCGCTGGCTATTACAACTCTTAGTCATACGCGCGTCCAACGCCTGCGCAGTCGAGGCGGCGTCGTCGTCGTCGTCGTCGTCGTCGTCGTCAGGCGCAACTCCCACGCGATAGATAAAGTTCGCACACACAGTGTGTGCAGTAGCAGAACAGCTGCAGGAGGGTCGCGCCTCGCTATCTCTCCCTCGTACGTACTGCAGTCAGCCGTTCGTTGGCTGCCGCCGGCTGACTGCACTCGACGCTCGTGTCGTATAATATCGTTCGACGACGCTTGCTCGAGGCCTCCAAAAACAGAGTTTTGACCGATACCAGCAATGGTGAGTCTCCTCTTCTTCTCCTTTTTTCCGTCTATTTTTTTTCTATTCGCGTGAGTTTCATATTCCTAATTGTCACGGGATACTTTCTCCGCGCAGCTGCTGTCTGTATCTGTGTCTGTGATGTATAAAAGTCTCATAAACTCGTGGCGTGTGTCAACGATCAATTTATAATTAGAATCAAAATATATGTATATTCATACGAGAATCTCGGCTACTAGTATTCAGCTGTACAACCGATGTAAACTTCGTATGTATCAGATTACGCGACAAGTACTTCACGGCTGTCTGCCTGGAGCCTGCGCGATCGCGTAACGTCATCCATCTCTCGATCAAAAATGATCGCGAATTCGAAATCTCTCGATACGAGCCGAAATTCGGTCTACGTGGAGTTTGCGTTAATTTCTCTATTTGGCGTATAAATGAGAGAAAACAGGGCGAAGAGCTCGTCCGTCGAGCGAGAGTTGTGTCGGTGTGTATTGATTTTTCGCTTATGTGCGCCGCCGACCGAAGCACGAGGGCGAGTATTGCATGTATATAGGTATACAGAGTGCGAGAAAGCATTGAGCACGTTTTACCGCAGCTTTTAGGAGAGTTAAGCTTCTTGATCTTTGCTTCGAGTGCTGCTACGAAGGTTTTTTAGTGTCATTGCGTAACCGATATAATAATCATCATGATTGCCGCTTTGAGAGTAGTCGATACATTTCTCGATGACAATTTTATGTCAATATAATGTACGTAATAAGTATATAATATACTTGATACCGAGCGTCTCGCGCGACCTGCTCATTCAGCCTTATGTTATATATACCCCTCCGTCTGGAGCTGCAATGTATGTATAAGCAATTGAGCTCGCGACACACATATTATAATACGTATACGAGAAGTTATTGACGTCGCAGCAGCAGCTGCAGCTGCAACGTAGCACCGAGCTTGTAATGCGCGCGCGACAGCGTGTGCTAATTGCCAGCGCAAGGCAGGCAGCAACTTTTACAAGTGTGTTCTTCCCTCGGGCTCTCCCCGCGAGATGCCAGCACGCGAAGCGTCGAGGCGGCGTGTCCCTGGATTATTCGCGTTCGCGCGTGTGTGTGAAGCGCGAGAGATGGATTCTCGATTCGCGAGAGATGAGTTTCAAGGTAATCCGCTGCTCTCTCCACACCCTCTCGCTCTCGCGGTCAGAGAGCTTCGCGAACTTTTTGCGTTTTTACGACGTTGATGCGCGCGAGCTTTTTTAGCGACCCTTTTCGTTTGTATAAGATATGCCAGCGAGACTATCGCTTTAACGAATGATTTACGGAATGAAAAGAAACAAATTGCGGTCGGAAAGACTGACCGAATTTCGAAACTAAGATATTAAGTTAAAAGTCGACTAAATTATTATTTTAATTATTTCAAAAATTGGCAGATATTTATCTGCATACTCGTATATGAGGTCGATCTTTGTAAAACATTTATTCATTTATTATAAATAAGCTGAGGTTTCTATTTCAAACTTTTATAACGGTCGTAAGTAAACGAGTTGTAAGAAGACCGACCTTATACGCGATCTGGTAATATCCGGAGGATAGGTTCGACTTGCAAATTATCCCGTTTGTCTTTTTTTACTATTTGAATACTCGACCAATTTATTGTAACGATGATACCCGATTGATCGATGTATTAGGAAGTGGGGCTGCCGATGGTTTACGGTTGAAAATAGCCGTTGTGCGGCCGTTTGCGACCGTTTTGTGCCGTATCTCTATCCCAGTTGTCGATATTTCGTACATTATGTTAATAAGCTTACTATACGACGAGTATCCAAATCGAAGTTTTTTCGAAACCATTATACCGGTAGTTTTATGCATATATTAATGTATTCTTGAGCACTGTAAGTGCTCCAGATAAAAATAGTACATTGTTAAACTTCAGGAAGTGGCGAAAACTAGCCCAAAAATCCAATTTTTCGATCCAGTTTGCTGAAACTTCACTTTATATTACTTTATAGAGCATAGAGTCTTGTGGAGACATTAATTTGAAGTTTTAGAAACGGGATTCAAATTGATCGTAGAAGCTAAAAAATTGAAGTGATCGTATTGAAGTTCGCCAATATATTAACGAGTATACAAATTCAATCTTCACAAAACGATAAATTCATTAGCAAACGATCGAAAAACTCCGTAAAGCTAACGTACAACTGTCGCTCGAGCTCACGCGAATCGCAGCAGGGCTGTAACTGGCGCAAAGCTCGGCAATATAATAGCCGACACAAATCGACTCGATAATGTACATTACAGTCTCGCGCTATTTTACACGCCCGAGAAGAGTGTCAGTAGTGTTGAGCATAAAACGAGCGCCTGCTGCTTTGGAGCGAGGCGCGTCACGGCAGCCTTGGTCGTCGATCTAGTTGCCTACATGCAGGAGCTGATCGAGTAGCTGCTGACGCGCAACACGCACGAAACGAATAAATACAAAAGAAAACAAGCCGGATAATTCACGCCTTCGAAGGTAATCTACTGCACCTAATCGGCAATCGATCGATCGATTATATTGCAAATAACGGAGACACGCTGATTTATCGGAGACGCGCGCTGCACAGAATGCTGCGGCCAATCGAGACAAGGTCACCTCCCTCGCGACAGCAGCTATAACATGCGCTATGTACGATCTCTTCCTTATTATAATTCGTATAATAATCCGACCGCATCCACGATAATTAGTCTCTCGAAGGCGTGAGACTGTCGCAATCGTTACAATAACTTATATGCAAAACGGCAAAATTTCAATTTTTTAATGTAATGGCGCTGCAGTTAATTAAGGAATATTTGTCGCGATATATAAAATTATAATGCAAGCTATATCTCTTCACAGGTGTTGTCCAGTAGAAATGGCCCGGGCGAGACGGCCCACGTGCAGCTGCTGCAGCGCAGCAAATCGTACATCGTACCGACGACGTCGTCGACGAGCAACAACACCACCGGCGGCAGCTCGATGAACAGCGCGACCAATAACTGCAACAACAACCGCAACAGCATCCTCGAGGGCATCCACCTGAGCAATCTGCAGGACGGCGAGACACTGAGCTACGGTCTGGCCCTGGTGCGCGGTCGAGTGCCGGCCACCTGCAAGAGGCTGCGGGTACGCTGCCTCGGGAGCAGCAGCAGCAGCAGCGTCAACAACAGTAATAATGGGTTGACTCAGCAGCAACAGCAAAGTGGCGTCAAACAGACGAGCCAGCACCAGTGGGCCGAGTGGCCCTGCGTCAACGGGGACTTTCGGCTGCTGGTCGAGCTGCAGCGCGGCCACAATCGCGTGGAGCTCGAGGCCGCCGGTCACAGGCGCAAGTTCGGCCTGGTCTACGAGCCGCGTTACACGAGGCTGAGGGTCACGCCCGTCTACGTCATTTGCGCCGGTCACGATGGATATTTCCAGGTATGCAGCTGCAGCTTACATATAGATTTGTTAATAATTTTGACCCCCTTTCTCGAAATTACTGCGTTTGTGGTCTATCGGCGATGCGCCACTCGTCTCTTATTCTCCGCACGTCGTTTACACATACACACACACATAGTCGAGGATCTTTTTATTTGCCGATGCCGCAGTTCTGCAGTTGTTCGGAAGAGAGAGATGCAATTTTCGTGAGTGAGAGAGAGAAGATGACTCGCGCAAGGAATGGATAATGTCGTCGCGCCGCGGAGCCGACCTTGTGCGGCAACGATGATTCACGAATTTTTAACACGATCGCTCGCTCGCTCGCTCGTCTTCGTATACGTATGCATCACATCCTGTGACTGTAATAACATATGTAGTTCTTCAATGTATTTATCGTATACCCAGCAGAAGTAATAATACATAAATGTTTATCGATCGCTCGCGAACTAGACTCGAGCTCTCGAGTTGACGTAGTCTCGTTTTTTTTTCTCTTTTTTACTTTATTTTATTCATCCCTGTAATATGTAGGACTCGTGCTAGCAGCAGATAACTCGTGGTACATAATGTATCTGGCATGCGGCTGCAGCAGCAGCAATTCACTCAGAGGCAGGTAGGCACTTACGTGCCCTGCAACCTTCCGGCCCCGACTGCAGTTCATCTTCTGCTCCTCTCGTGTGCTGCAGGTGTATACACTATACAGAGCTTTGCAGCTACGTGTATGCGTCAGCCCCTGCTAATGCTGTTAAATCGATATGGCCGATTTACACGAACGCGCGCCAAAAAACTGTCTTTTTTTCTTACCCACTACTTATTCGCGTCTAATTTTTTTCGACCTTGAAACAAAAAAAAATAAATAAGTACAGGAAATCAATTTTTTCGAAACCGCATCGCTGTCGAATACCTGCTCTACTAGCCCACTAATCCGAGACACATTTTGACGCTTTTTTCCCCGAAGTTCGGTTCACTTGATCCACGGTGACGTCAATGAAAAAACAAAAGTATCTTGCAAAATTTCTAATAAAGTACTAAATATATCTTAATTGTGAAATGATTAATTGAAAGTGTCTATTCTATACCATTTATAGGATTGGATTAGTGGCTAAGCATACATTTCGGAATTTATTTTTGAGCCACGCGCCAGGCCCGTTCCACCGCAATGTTTAGATTTCTCAATGTCTAATATACCTTATTATATGTATCGAATAATCTTTCAGTGAACGTGTTAGAACACGAAAGAACATCATTTGAATGTATCACCATTTCACCTTATGACAAATATATTACTAGTGGCAACGTACGTAGCATCATGCTGAGCGTTTATGTTACGCATTATTTCTAATAACATAATATTAATTAGCATGATGGATGAATATAAAAATTAATGTTTTAATTTAAATGCATTCAGTACACCTATAATATATGAGTTTAGATTTTAAATAAAATATATAATTATACAGGCAGGGGCTATTCAGAATAGTTAGAATTGTGTTTATTGTATTAAGTTAAAATGCGGCGTTTTTTCAATTGAACTATATCAAATATAATTGTTCACGCATTTCTTATCGCGTATATCGGGGCTTATCGACTTAATCTAAAGGACTCAACGATACGAGCATATTTACGTGGCTCATTTCAGTGGAAACCATCCGTGGCGATGCGAGCACTCCCTTCCAATCTTAACTATTTCCAGCCATAGTTTGTTTATGCGTGATGAGCTCGCCACCGAGCGGTTAGTTTATGAACTACTATTCGCGTACATTTAATATTGTTGTCCTGGCAACGTCGTGATACATAACAATATGTACATTCCATGTATCAATATGACGTACTGGACGGACCCAGGACAATGAGGAAATATTTAAAAAAGCATTGCAGTCAAATTATAATGAAATTTTACGTAAAAAATTTCAATTATTTTCGCAATCGATAAGAAACTGTGCGTAAGAACAGCTATGAAAAAAAAAAAATTAAAATTTCGAAGCAAATTAATAGTTTCAAATTGTCTGTTTTTTAATTTATTTATTTGAAAAATATGGAAAATCTCAAAAATTAAATTACATGCAAAAATTATTGAATATATCGCCTTCACGAGCTTTGGATTGTATTTCCCAAACAAATATTGTATAAATCTTCATTCGTCAATTTATCGATGATTATTTCGCAGCAGAGAATTGGCATCGGATATTGTATCATCATCTCGAATAAAGAATCCGCTGCCCATCGCCGGAAAAATCTCCTCGATATTTTCTCGCCCAGACACTCGAGACAAGCCTGTTGATAATACACGGGGAGGTCACACAATGCTTCCGATTTCGACAACTCGATGTAGTTTTTATAAGTGAGCAGTTTCGCCACCTCTCTGGGTTGCAACCGAATCAGATCGTACAGCGACGCATCTGGAATTATCATTATCTTTTTCGCTTTACTCGCAAACTCCTGGTCGTCGTACCAGCATGTTTTGAGATTTTCTGTCTTTTCGAACAATCCGTATGACGATTTATCTTGAGCTATCTTGATGAAAAGTTGCATGACCTTTAGAGCGTCGCTCAAGTCTAATTCGTATCCCCTCTTCTCTAGACTTTTGACAGTGGCCATAGCGCCAGCGGCTAGTCTCAGTTTGAAACTGTCACTATGCTTCGAGTCCAATCCCTCCGGAAAATAATTCGCAAGAGCGAAGCTCGACAGATCAGCGCCTTGATCCAAGTTTAGATCAACGAGATATGGCTTGATATTCGACACAGCAAGTTGTAGCGGTGTCCGGCCCGCCTTGTCCCGCGCGTCGACCTGCACCGACTGTCTTTTATCGTCACAGACCTCGAATAACAACTTTGCCAAGTTATCGTGTTTGACATAGGAAGTGTGGCATCTCCGGCCACAAATAATGTGCAGAGGCGTAGCTCCTTCTTCGTCGGCCAAGTTCGGATTGGCACCTCTTTTGAGCAACAATTCGAACATCTTGTTTGTGCAGCAGCAGAGCAGAGCCAAGTGCAATGGGGTACGGCCCCATCTGTCCTGAGTGTCGATTCGCACCGTCTGCTTTCTCTCTTCGTAGACTTTGAAGAATATCTTCATCAAGTCATCGTTATCTCCATATCCTTGACTAATAAAGTGCAGAGGCGTCCATCCGTTCTCGTTGGTCAAGTTTGGATCGGCGCCATTTCTTATCATAAACTCGGCCATTCGCTTGTCTATGTTTTTGACAGCAATGTGCAGCAGCGAGTTACCCGAATCGTCTTGGACATTGACAGGATATCGCGCGAAGAACATCCTCAGCGACTCGATGCCCGACGGAGTCAGCCCTTCGTACGTAACGCGATTCAGATCGGCGCCGTATCTCAGCAGCAATTTGACGACTTTTGCGTTAGCGGTGAGCGGATACCAGCAGCCTCCGCGGATATCAGCGTCCTGGCCAAGTCGGAGGAATTTCCTGATGACATCGTCGCAGCCGTACTGACAGGCTACGTGGAAATGCGACAGTCCGTACTCGTCGGTGTAGTTCAAGTCGAATCTGTTGTAAACGTTGAATAGACTTTTGACGACGTCGCGGCTGAGGCGAGTTCTGACAGCGCGATGCAATGCCGTGGTACGACGCAACAGTGGCTTGCCGTCTTTATCGACGTCGGGTACATCTTTGTAGCCGCAGTCGATCACGAACTCGACGACTCGCTTTCCATTACGGTTATACTCGAGTATAGAATGACAGAGGAGAAACTCGATCTCTTCGGGCCGAAAAATGGCTCGGAGATTTGGAAGCGAACCTTTCCAAGCGCTGATTATAGAATCGAATTGACAGAGAAATTCAACTCGATCTCTGTCGATCATCCAACTGACCTTTTTTTGCGAGTCCGCCAATTGTTTAAATTTGAATTTTCGCAAGTCCTTTAATTTTTCAAAGTTCACTTGATCCACGTAGTCCATTGTCGTTACACACTCACAGTTGCTCACTACACTCGTTGTTCACGCATTGGAGTCGTATAGAGTACTGTATTTTCACTGTACATGTGCTTCGTAGCAGACTACTACACTACACTACTTCTATAGCACATGGCCAGTGGTGGCACTTTCACTTATACTTCCGGCTGCATTTAGGCGGTATAGATGAAAAAAAAATGGCCGCATCATTCATCAATCATGACTGGCCGAAAACGCTTGAATTTTAAAACCAAAATGATTCCTTTCTCTTTTACTCGCAGGGTCCCCAGAACGAGAATCGCTCGCCCGAGAGCGCAGCGACGCGCATCGGCCTCGGCGCACGCCTCCTGCAGACTTTGACCGCGGAGAAACTGCACGAGGCCGGCCACGGACGCAAGACCTTCCAGCTGGAGCGCGACCTCGACGGGCCCGAGTGCCTCGTGATGCACAGCCAGCTGCACGTCGACCGGGCCCGCGCCATGACGCAGCGCGAGCTCTGGGAGCTGGTGGGCCGCGAGCTCATGCAGGGCCCGCTGGCCAGCAAGGACCGCAAGTATCTGGCCTTCCTGTCGTGCACCAGGTACTGCGGCGCACCGAGTCCCAGGACCCACGAGGACACCCTGGCCCGGACTCAGGCGCACGCGGCCCTCGGCGGCGGCGGACTGGCGCTCTTTGGCTCGGCCTGCCTGCACACCTGGCCCACATGCATGGCTCAGGTAAACGAGGATCGATCCGTACTTGAAATGCTTATAATATTAATAATGACTCGATGACCGAGAAATGGCCATTTGAAGTTTTTTGAAATACATGACCATTAAATGGTTTGTTTTTGGTAATTTTTATGTTAAAGTTACCCTGCAAACATTGAGTGAATTTTAAATAATCCGAAAATGACAATTTAATTGTTGGAAAAAGTTTAGACAAGTATTCAATTTACCACTTCAAGCTTCCACCACTAGATGGCGAATATCTTTTATCTCTAAATCTGCAAGTGGTAAAATCAAAATACGTGTATAAATTAAAAAAAAGGTTTCAAATCTGTAACCCTGTATTTCCGGTTTTTGTTGGTTACATATTTATCCAGTTCTAATCATCCTTTTATACACAAGAAACTTTCATTGGTCAAAAAGTAGCCATAAAATGTTCAGCATTTTTATTCGGGACTTCCCGCGTAAAAAAAATTCACGTTTCGCGAAACTTTTGCGAAACTTAAAATCCGCAAGTTGATCTAAACTTCATATGAACTTTGGGCCATGAGACTCGCCAAACTTTGATTTCGGTGACTTCTAGTAGTGCAAGTTTGGCGAAACTTTCGCGATAGTTTCGCGAAAGTTTAATTTTCATTTCAAGCATTAATGAATAATAAAAAAAATTATTCATTTCTTAGCTTCCAGTGTAGGCTTAATGAAGAATTAGATAATCGATTAAAACTTCGCAGGCATTTAAAAGATTTTTTTGTGTTAAAGATTTTTTTGAGAGAGTCCGCGGGTAGGATTTGAACCTGGGTCCTTGAGAGTGGGAGTCGTGAACGGTACCAATTGAGCCATGTGCGTAATTTACGTCGGACACAAAAATAAGATATTTATGAAAAAGTTATTATTGAAGCTGAAAACCAATAAAAAGCCAAATCAGACATTCATTAATTGTAATTTATAGTAATTTTTTAGTTTTTTATAAATATTTACGATTTTTCATATAAACAATTTTTGTTCGGGACATGCTACACTACTCAACAAAAGTATTGAAAAAAAAGTTTCATCAAAATGTTGTCAATTTTCAAATGCTTCTATCTATCTTTGTCTATATTCATCGTATCGAGACGAACTTTTTTTTGATTTCTTGGAAAAAAGTTCCAAGTTACAAAAAGCAAAGTTTAGCGAGTTGTATGAACGAAAGTTCGTACGAAGTGTATATTAACTGTGCGGAATGCAGAAATTTACGCAAAATGTACATTAAGTTTCGCGAAACTTTTGCTATCAATGGCTCTACGAAGATGTTAGTTTGGTGAGTCGTTTGGGCCAAGGTTTCTACAAAGTTTATATGAGTTTTACGGAATGTTTCGCAAAACTTATGCGAAACTTTCGCCAAACTTGCACAATCAATGAGTCCATGAAAACGTAAGTTTGGCAGAGTCTCACGGGCCAAAGTTCATATGAAGTTCATATAAATTCGGCAAAATCGCCAAACTTAAAAAAAGTTCCGCGAAACCTAAATTTTTTTACGCGGGTTTCTTATTCACTTATTTGTATTCAATACACATTCGAGATTATGTCTAGTAAGTACTCTGACGACAATGCAAATAAACGAAATTTTATGAAGTTTTTTCAAACTTGATAAAATAAATGATATAAAGATAGGTAAGAAGATCAGTTTGGACAAATATTGTAGTCAATAAAGTTAACTAAATTTAATATCGTATAACTTTCAGTGCAAAACCGGTTGTCAACTTTTTTTTGTACTAAAACATGCATAAGAAATAATTACTTATTATATACCTTTAAAGTTTAATTTACATCCGACGACTTATATAAGATTCTTACCAACGACGTCAAAAATATTAATACCAATTCAAGTTATACATTATAATATGTCGTTGTCTTGCACGTACGAATGCTCACGGGAATTCCAGTGCCCGAGTATGAAAATCGTGCGTGTGTCAAAAATAACACATGGAAAAACGCGTCGAATATAATCGAGTAAACGTGCAAGTATTTTCTCGAACAATAGTTGAAGTTTTTTGACCCAGTCATGGAATGTCTCATCGACTATTATGCATTTTTCCTTCGCAAATGGTATGCGAATTCAGTACCAATGAAAAGTAATAAGTATACCGCGCGGTGTCATCTCGAAATATTTTGGAAATTTTCTTCGAATCGTGAACATTCGTTTCAAACGTAATTACCTTGCTCGACGCGTAATGCAGTATTTATTTTTTGTCGGTGCATGGTAAAATGATTACATTTTTTTTCGTGTTGATGAATTCAATTTTATCTACAAAACATTATTGGCGCAACGGCGATTTTTCGGTTACGATAATGTTGCAAATATTGAGCGCATTTCAAATGACCTGAAAAGGACAATTTAATTGCTTCAAAAAAAATTCCAGTTTCCAACTAAAGACCGTAATATCACTTTAAGCCTCTACCACTAGATGGCGAGTACCTGTATATGTAAACCTACTAGTGGCAAAGTCAAAATAATTGTATAAGTCAAACCACCGTATCGGAATTTTATTTACGATGTATATCGTAATGAGATATTCATCGGCCAAAAACTAGCTTCAGTAAAAATTTCACTATTTTGACTGATTGACCATGCAAAACGTTTTTGAAAATGCAAAATTAAAAGCGAAAAATGCTTTAAAAATAAAGTTCCAATAACATTTGGACACGACAATCGTTTCACATTAATTTTACATTAAATTAAAGTAATTTATGAACTTTTATTAAATTATGTTTTGATTTATACAATCGTTTTTTCTTTGACACTTGCAGATTTATTAATAAAAGTACTTGTCATCTAGTAGTAGAGACTGGCTTTAATCATAATTGAATTTTTATAAAATTATTAAGCTATTAACGCGAAAAATAAATCAGTATTAAAATTATTTTTCAATAAAAATGTTTAAATTTGAACATAAAATAGGAATGTGCAAGAATACTTGATATTACATCTTAGGCGATTCGAATCCTACTCATTGAGTCGAGTCAGGAATATTTTCGGGTACTTAAATTTTGATGTTTTATTTTAAAATGTTTGGTTTAAAATGAAAATATACCAAAGGTAAATATAAAAATTGACGCTTTGCCTCATTCGCAGGTGCTGCCGCGTTTCCTGGACACTCGAGCCATCGACACCGAGCAACTGATGGACGACAGCAATTACCGGGGCACGCACGGCGGCTGCCTGGCCACGACCCTGGGCTCGGCCCTGCACGAGCTCGGCCACACCTTCGATCTGGGCCACACGCGCGACGGCATCATGGGCCGCGGCTTCGACTTCGTCGATCGCGTCTTCCTCGGGGCGGCGGGCCTCGACACGAATCGCAACTCGGTGCGACGCCAGCAGCCCCAGCACACCACGGTGGCCCTGTCGCGGCCGCTGAGCGTGACCGTGGTCGTGGCGCCGAGCCCCAGCCGACAGTCGCGTCCGCGCAGCCGTCTGCTCTCCGAGTCCTCGACGACCAGCACCAGCGGCGGCTCGAGGCCGGTCTCGCTGAACTTTGACCAGTCGGAAGGTCAGCGGCAGCCGGGCCAACAGCAGTCGGCGGGCAGGCTCTCGGCGCCGGCGAGTCCCGAGCTCAATCGATCCTTCGCCAAGAGCGTCCAGGCCGCCAATCCCGTGCAGACCGACCGGACCTACTGGGGCAGCTCGTGCGCCGCCATGCTCGCTTATCATCGCTGGTTCAACTCCGACCTCGACAATGGTCGACAGAAGAATCTCAACGATCTCAAGTACGACGCTAAAAGGTGAGAATCGTTTGCTATGTACGCTATTCATAATGTTTGTATTAAAACTAATGTGATTCGAATTCAATTGAACGATTTTTTTTCCGAATCATATTACAATGACTCATTTTTTGTTTTTGTGTTTACCGTCGATTCGATTTGGTTTTTATACAATTATTTTTACTTCACCATTTGCAGATTCGCAGATAAAGGTACTCGCCATCTAGTGGTGACGTTTGCCCTTAGTTATGATTGAATTTTCATATAAATATTTCAGACAGTACAGTTAACGCAGAAACTCGAATCGGTTTTAAAACATTAATTATAAATCAAATTTTCTAATTCGACCATAGAAAATGCAATTTTGTTGGTTCATTTTTGTGTTATAATGTATATGATTGCATTCTTGTGCCATTCACATAAAACATTAATCAGTACGGACACATTAATTTTCAATGATTTTATGAAAAAGTATCTCAAATAAAGTTTAATGTCGTTTACTTTTTCAATGTCCGATTTTACATTGAATCTGCATTGAATTCAAGGTTTTTTTTAAACAATTTAACTTAACTTAATTTACTAGGAACGAAAATTAATGTTAATCTTTCTCTTCTCCGCAGAAACGTGGTGAGATCTCGTCACGGGGTGCGCGTGATCGAGCTGCGCGAGTCAGCGGGCGGCCTGGTCGTGGCGTCGCGCCAGTTCTCCGGCAGCCACCTGACGGTGGAGGCAATGGTGCCGGCGCCGCCGCCCCATCACGTCCAGGCCCTCACCCTCGTGGCCGAGGACTCGCTCGGCAGCATACTCAAGTATCCTCTGCCCACGGCCTTCTAGAAATCAAATAATCTTCGCATGCGCGTATAACTCGGCTGCGAATCGTAGTACCTAACAAGCTTCCCGCGCTCAGTATTCCAATAATGTATAGCTGACTCGTTATATATTCTATAAGCCTATCATTGATTCGATCGAAAGGACCATAGTGATCTCATTTATTTCAGTATTTTCTACCGTGAGTACGAATAAAATTAGTCAATTATTTGTCAGACTTTACCAAAGGTTAATTGATAAAACGAAGAAATTAATTTTCTTTCGATTTTTAATTTCATTACTTCTGATGATGAACTTTCAACGCGCAATTTCAAGAATGTTGACAAAAACTTGAATACATTCGAAAAAGCAGTGATTGGCTTTTTGCTTATAAAATTACATGAATAATTTGAGTATTCTCAATATTTTGCTTACTGCCTTATTTATGCTATCATTTTAAGGGCCTATATTGTAATTTTTATTATTAAGTCATGCAAGAAAAGTGAAATCAAATGGCATTTTCATGAACTGCTATTTATCTATAATCAAAGTATTATACTTTTAATCTCCCAATTATTGAATATAAACTTTAGCAAGCCTATGAATTCAATTTGAATTATGTAAATGAAAACTAAAGAATGAAAGCTTGAAGAGGATTTGAGAAAGAGAGAATTGCCTTTAGTACTTTTTTATAAGTATACGAAAAATATGTCGATCGATCTCATTTAAAAAAATCGATTGGATCTAAATTTTTCAAACTATAGCTAAGATTCAAAGAACAAAAAAAGCTTCTTCTTAATTTGTGATTTCAATCTTAAGTTATAAAATGAGCAAAACTAATTAATATAAGATCTGCGATATCGACCTAATATTTATGAATATGTATAAAGAGAAAAAATGTATACTAGATACAGACGATGTTGACATCTCTTTACTAATAAATAAATATCACATAACAATAATACACTGAGACCTGAATGATAAGAGTACTGAAAAAGTAAAAGGTATGAATGTAGCCGGTTTTTTAACATTAGATTAATAATGAAATTTAAATTGCAGTCTTTCAGCATTTATTTAATATAAGTTTTATTGAACAAGTTCTGTACTTGTACATTGTGTTCCAAATTTTTATACAAAATAATTATACAACATTTAATAAGTTCAAACTCAAATGATTACGTAACCTAGAATATTTACAATTTATTTTTAATTTTGTGCACTTGATAACAATTGTGTTAAAAATGAAAATGAAAGATTTTGAGAAATTCCGCACAAAATTCACGTTTCAAATATACATTGTTATTAACTATTAATTGGTTCGAGACAAAAAGAAGATTAAAAATGACTGCTGATGTATCTGATTCCGACCGTTTTTTGAAATACATTTATATTCATTTTCAAATTAATTTTATAACACTAAAAAAATGATTTCGTCCCGTGTAGCAAGTATTGTTATATTATTAATCGAAAAAAGTTCCAGCATGTTGAAATCTCGTACTTCAAGACAATACCCCAATGAAATTCATAGAATTTATGACGAAAAACTGCGTTGAAAAAAGTGAGAAATAACATTCCAAATGTTTGAATTTTATATATAAATGTAGAAAATAATTTGTGGAACTTCCTGTTTTCTTTGATGTAAATAAAAGCAACATTTTTATTAAACATTTTCCAAACTATTTTCTTTACACTATAGTTTTTAAAAAGTATAACTATTCCTAAAATTATAAAAAGCATACAAATGTATAAAAAAATAATCTAATCAAAGTGAAAAAATATACAAAGGTAAGTAATTTACAATTACAATAAAAAACTAAAACTACACATTATTATTACTCATGACACAATGATAAACAAATTGATTGAAATCGCCATCATCAGTGCAGTTGTCACCTACCATATTACTTATACCTGTCCGTGGCGGATTATGGAGCACGCCATGACATGGGGATGGCAAATATCAAAATTTTTTATTATACATAAGTACATATGAATCTATTTACGAGATGTTTTTTGTGTGAACTCGATGTTGTCTGTCCAGATTTTTTTGTGAATCATTTAGTTTTAAAAAACCCACAATACCTCGGTAATATTGTCGCCAAGATAGAATTTTAAATTGTTTCGAATGTAGTAAGAAAAATGAATAAACAGATGAGTCAGTACCTAGATTGTAAACAATATGATCACAAACGATTTTGACATCGTCCCTCGGCACACTGATCATGTTCATAGTAAAAACAAATTAGTTTGAATTTTATCTTTCCCAATGAAACAAGTTATAAAATCAAAAGATAAATTTTACTCATGCAATTTCTGTACGGTACTGAATAGAAAGATTCATTGTTTAATTTAGGCTCCAAAATGAATAAAAGTGGGAAAAGATCTGAGGAAGCTGTCTCGAATGATAATGTAAGTGAACAAGACGAACAATACGTTTGTGACATTTGTCAGGAGGCATTTAAATTAAAATCAAGGATGATAATACACCAAGACACATTTCACATGAAACAAAAAAATTATGCATGCGACAAGTGCGAGAAGAAATTCGAGTTCCGAAGTCATTTGAGTAGACACCAAATATCAGAACACAAAGGCCGCAAAGATTTTGCATGCTACAGGTGCGAGAGGAAATTTGAAAATAAATCAACTTTACTCAAACACAAAAAAATATTCCACGAAGTTTTAAAAAATTACTTGTGTGAAATTTGCGCGAAGAAATTTGACAATAAACATTGTTTACTTTTGCACATAAAGAGAGTACACGATGGCCGGAAAGATTTCGCATGCGATAATCGCGAGAAAAAATTTGGACAAAAATCAGTTCTGTTGAAGCACCAAAGGACAGTACACGATGGTTGCAAAGATTACCCATGCGACAAATGCGAAAAAAAATTCGGACAAAAACAGCATTTGCTCAGACACCAAAAGACAGTCCACGAAGGTTGCAAAGAGTTCGCATGTGACAGTTGCGAGAAGAAATTTGGACTTCGAAGCAATTTGATAAAACACCAAAAAACAGTCCACCAACGTAACAAAGATTTTGCATGCGACAAGTGCGAGAAGAAATTTACAGAAAAAAGAAATTTGCTCACCCACTTAAAGACAGTTCACGAAGGTCACAAAGATTACGCATGTGATAAATGTGAAAAAAAATTTGGGAATCAAAGCAATTTGATCAGACACAAAAAAACAGTACACGAAGGAAACAAAGATTTTGCATGCCACAAGTGCGAGAAGAAATTTATAGAAAAAAGAAATTTGATCAGACACAAAACAACAGTTCACGAAGGTCGCAAAGATTATGAATGCAATAATTGCGAAAAGAAATTTGGATATAAAAATCATTTGCTTATCCATCGAAGAACAGTACATGAAGGTCGCAAAGATTATGTATGCGACAAATGCGAGAAGAAATTTACACGAAAATCAGATTTGTTGAATCACCACAGGACAATCCATGAAGGTCGCAAAGATTTTACTTGCGACAAATGCGAAAAGAAATTTGGAGATCGAGGAAATTTTATTAGACATCAAAAAACAGTACACGAAGGTCAGAAAGATTACGCTTGTGTTAATTGCGAGAAAAAATTTGGACAAAAATCAAATTTGTTAACCCACTTTAAGAGAGTACACGAAGTCGCAACGAAAAGCGCATTTGCTCATACACCAAAAAACAGTCGATGAAGGCTGCAAAGATTTTGCTTGGGATAAATGCGAGAAGAAATGATGATTGCCCATTGTAAATATGTATATAGATACTTACACATATGTTTTTCTAAAATTTCAATTAAAATTGTGCTGAAATGACGACGTATTACCCAAACCTCGAGCGTTTACTTATCATTACACTTTTGTACACTGATATTTTAGTATTTCCAGATTTCACTAATTACTACTAATTACTACTCTGTGTTCTATTTTTTGGATACTGAATCCCTATAGCTTTTCATGCAACGATCAGCCGGCTTCAAGTCATCATTTGACGATACCACCCTATGGCTTCTACAATTTCTCAACTGAGATTCACCACGAGCAATGAGATACTGAATGCACTAACAGATAATTACTTTTAGGCCAAGCAATAAAAAAATTACCGTCAACAACCTTCGCGAAGGCAGAAGATCGCCTTTTTAATATTATTTCACAATATCCAGAATATTTCGATGGAAATAGAGAACTAGACTACCTTTGCGGGCTGCCACTTAAAAATATGAAATAAACTTATATTCATTTTACTTTCGGCCTTTCTGGGAATTGTAACTTTGAGCTTAGAATTTTGGAGTTGGGACCTTCGGATTGGCACTAGTGTATCCCAATCGTTTAATTACTCATAGGATTTTTATAACTAATATTATCTAAAATTTCTATACACACAGGTGAACTTAAATCAAAGTTCGCTTACTCAAATTTCTCAATGCAAAATAGCAATCTATGGCGTATACCGCACCGAGCGTTCCACACAGCATCTGCAAGAAATGTCGTTAGATTTAGGATCGAATGAACGAGGGTAAAGTTATAGGCCTAAAAAACTTACGTAGGCCGTGGTCATCGCTGGATATACCTCCAAACCAGCCGATGCGACGTAGAGCGGCAAAAGAAACGTCTTCGTGGCGAATCCCAGGCAAGAGGCTGCGCTTAGGCAAAAGAAGCAGGCGATAGTACCGAACATGATCTCCTGACGGAAAAAATTATCACATAAATTGCATCGTCTAGTGTATATTATAAAGTTGATTAATTTTTATTATCTAACTCACGAAGTAAGAGGCTTGAATTAATTTGTACGATTTTTCGGATACCATGTAGCACATCAGGAGGATCAACGACGTCATAAAGCAAGCCGAGCACGTCGTAAGTGCGCCCTCGAAGGCCGTGCCGATCTGCGCGTGAAATCTCAGTCCGTACTTCAGTAGTAGTCCCTGCACCATGAAACTTATTACCTGCAAATCCCATTCGATTTTTTACCATTCATTATTACGTACATTAGAGGGAGAGATGAAAAAAAGTAAAGGTGCTCGGTACAGAATAAACTGTTATCAATTATTGGACTTAAGGAAGAAAACCGTGATAGTAGAAGTATTCAGTTGCCTTTGCATTAACTGAAAATTGGTCAAAGAAGTTATACCTAAAAAAAATTTACGTCTTATTTTCAAGACATAATCTATGCAGCAAAAGTTATGAAAATAACTTAAAATTAATTTTCAGTTTTTTCTTAAATTTCAGTTCCAGTTACGAAAATTTAGAATAATTATTGAATTTTCAATGTTTGTTTCTGAAAAGTTTCAGAATATAATGAATTATTTATGTTTGACACTCAATGTTCAATTATCATTATTGTACCGAAAATCCTGCTAAATGCCCCATAAGTGAGTGAAAACTCACGTCAAAACTGATTGCATTATTGAAGTGTAAGTGAACCTCGATGGTAATTTAATCTCGAGAGGACAACTTGGAAGGTGAAGCGGGATTCGGGAGCTATTTCAGCTTCACACTAACTCGGAGCCCCGTACTTGGCTAGTAGCTCTTATTAAGAGGGGGCCCTTATTGTAATAAGAACGAAGCAATTGGTGCGTTAGGAAATGATCTGCCCGAATCTTAACCACTGGCGTGGTCTACTAACTTTCGGGAAAGCGTTCAGCGTTTCGTGGCCACCAAACGGACAAAGTGAGAAGTAGGAGTTCGGGAATAGATTCGTTAATGAAAATGACGGGTTGTAAGTTTAACAAGTGATCCTTCTTCAATGTTAGTTATCTCAACAAGTTTATCCATTGCTCTGGTACTTTCGATAGTATTTTGCGTCGCATCCAACGTATTCTGACAATTTAATTCTAAATTTTGACAATAAAACTAATTATGTATAGCATGAATCTTGATACTCTGGTAAGTCTAGGAACTAATAATTCTCTAGGATTCCGAAAAAAGAGTTTCGATCTTCAATATATAACTCAATTATTATTGGAATTCAAATTGGACATATCTTTGAATTTTGCCTTGAATTTTCAATCTTTTTTTCTATACATGATAAAAATTAAGTTTTTTTTTTATGAATTATAAGAAATTACATGAATTATTAATAAATTGTATTCTTTTATATGTACATTAAAAGTACCTTAAAAAAAGAAAAAGTTTTTGATACTATGCTGCAAGATATTCCAATTGTCTACCAGTTTACCTGAAGGACCTTCAAATGGATAGATAAACTCTAAAAATGAAACTGTAAAATGCGATAAGGAAGATGAAAATTCTGTGATAGTTGTGTAGTGATAAGTGATTCGGATAACGGCTAATGTTGTTGAGTGCTTTTTGATACACTTTTCTATGTTTTTTAATTGTCAGTTTAGTTTACAAGTTCGACATTTTATTTAAATTTTTTATTTTGTAGCCAGTCTATGCACGGGCATGTAATGCCTTCTACAGGCCCTTCTATATTGAAGGTTTTAAATGGAAATAATTGTAAATAAATAAATAAATAAATAATCAAATTTCTCACTAATTGGAGATCGTCAATATACCACTTCTAAAGTTTTGATGATACCCGGCACGGACTTGAGAAATTCCAGATGAATGCAAGTGCAGCATCGGCACCAGCAGCACGGAATGCCACCGACTCCGTAAGCCTCGTCCGTTGATTCTTTGATTATGGGTCCGGCTTTTTTTGGCATCGTGTAAATTGAACAATTACAATTTGAAATTACGACACTTATTTCATTCGAACTTGACCGTCACACTTTTAAAACTTTGAAAACTTTGTATACTTAAGATTTATCGAATGATTTTTCATAAATGGTAATTTTCATTTAATAATTTTTACCAAACTTATTATAATTATTTGATTTTTTTAACTTGAAGAGATGCGCATTCTTACACTACGCAGTTACAACTGAAGAAATAGCGCCAGAAAGACGCGCACGCGAGTACCCCCTGCTGGGGTCGGATGCGCTGCTGAAGACTCCCGCGGGTGTCAAAAGGTATTTTGGGATTCACAACATAATACTTCTTTACATCTTTTTCTTCTGACTTCTCCGATGTTATGTTGCAATTACGCTACGTTTGAATTATCTTCTTTATATTATCGATAATAAAATAATTAACAAAAACTATTGCATTGATTATATAGACCTCATTTGTTTTATTTTCCAATGTCCTAATTAAATTGTGTTATTGATAAAAACACCATTATACAGAAAACTCGTACGAAGCCATAAGATCGAGAGCAGTGTGAAATTTAAAATGGACTTGCCAACTTTTCCGGATCTGATTAACAATGAAATACCCTGCGGAGAATTTCTCGCGGCGTCGAGACGCCTTTTAAAAAGTCTTGGTAAAATTTAATACGTTAATGACTGATATTTAAAAAGTTGAATTAACCTCACAATTGCATGTAGCATTTTAATTTTTGACCAATATTATTCTTGATCCTCTTAGATTTCTTTGGGAAAATTTTCATGACAATCAAATACGACATGAGCAAAAATATCGACGTAAGATTTATAATTATTCAATGCTCATGTAATTAATGAACTAAGAAAGAATTTGATGTATAATTTTCTTAAATTCCCAGAGAATATCAAGAAAATACAATGCCAATCGGAAAAGTTACACGACTTTACAAAAGTTAGTACACACGGAAGTCGAGAAAAAAGGAAATTTCGTCGCTGCCGAAGCTCTCTTATGGCTACGAAGGTAAAAAGTTCATCGATCGGAGAAATATCACAATCACGCCGCCCATTGACATTCTTCAACGACATTCTCGCTTACGCACACCGTCGACTTTTTCGCAGATGTCTGCAGATGGTCCAATTATTCTTCGAATTTATCGTCGAGGACTACGATCACGACGACGCTTCGGAGGATCTCGTCACTCACCTAATTAAGGCCTACGGACTGACGCTCGAGCCTTACGACGGATACATGTCGCAGCAGCTATTCGCCGTGAGTGTGCGACGCCCACTGCTCGCCGCTTTTTTTTCTCCGAATCTATGCGCGCAAAATTATCCCAATCATACTTATGCGTTCTCTCTCTCTCTTTCTTTTGATTCATAACCATTGCAGCTGTTGCATCGCTTGATGCCGAATCGCGAGCAGGTAATGAGGGCGATAACCGACGACCATGACGTCAAGAGCGAAATCGTCATCAGGCGAATGGACCGATTTTCCAGAAGGTTGAGAGAGAACGTCTACGCGCTCAAGAAGTTTTACGAGGATAATCAATTGGAGACTATTTTTAGACTTTAGACGCGCTGTGCGCGCGGCAAAAACCTTTTTTTACACCTATTATATATTTTAAGAGTTTGCCAATTGTCACACACACACGCGCGCGCGTGTTTTAACTTTTCTTTTATCTATACAAAGTTGTACTTCGTTTATAAAAGTTCGATATTTATAAAGTGACTTTGTTTGTAACACTGGATTTTGTGGTGAACGAATAAAAGCGAGGCCAGATTTTTTCGATTTTTGGTAAATGAAATTATTTTATTGTGTCCTCGATGCCGTAGAGCTGAGCCATGTAGAAACGTTTGGCGTGATGATCGGCCGATATCTTCAGGACGATGGTGCCCGTGACGATTTCCACGGCGAGAAACGCCAAAGCGACGCTGTTGGCGATTCGCTCGTTCGGCAGATAAGTCGAGTTACGATCGAAGACCAGGAACAATTCCAGGGGAAGCTGGAGTAGCGTGGATATCAACCAAAAACTGGCCAACTCTGGTATCTGTGAAGTAACATCAAACAAGTACCATTAATAATTATTGTTTTTGAGACAGTATAAAAATCGTATAGGTTTTTTTTCGAAATTCACTCGTCTCGCGGCCAGGCGAATTCGAGCGCGATCTCTCGGAGACATCTTCGCAGCTCGTCTTGTGCCGGCTGTTTTCACATTCCAGCCGGCGTTTATATGTGTATTTACGTGTATAGGCGCGCGACTGCAGCGCTGATGACATCTCAAAATCGTGTTGTTCGAGCACTGACTTTTATCTCTGCTGCTGCGTTTGTCAACAAAAAATAAAGCGAGAAGAAAAAATAAAGAGGCTCACTTACTCTTTCACCGAGATTGCCGAGGTAGCCCAAGTAGAGTCTTGTGCATTCCAGGCACACCACCGTCAGCGACACTGCCACCGAGACGAATTTGTAAAATTCTGACAACTCGTAGTACTGGAGGAAAACAAAACGTCTTGTATACAAGGTGAGTTTTTTAAACGAAATGCTATTTTTATGCAATGAGATGAGAAAATAAAATTTAGTGACAAGTGCCGATACGATTGTGCAATTGATGTTTACCTTTGCATCCAAGTAATAAATCAAGAATAATACCCATACGGGAAAGTAATAAACATTTAAAAATAAAACTATCTGAAGAGGCAGACTCGACTGCACCCTGTTTTCTGCAATATAAAAAAGGAAATATTACATTTCTCGCTACTTGCCATTCAATAAAAAAATTAGAAAAAAATGAAAAATCTCGCCGAAACACTCACGTATATCGAAAAACTCTTTCTTTCTATCGTGACAGGCTAGTCCTGGAAAAATACGATCCGAAGCAGACACCACTGATGACTTCCACATTTTAGCATTTCTTATCGAAATTATTTAACAAGTACCTTAATCGCATTGTTTACAATTGTTTACCGTGCGATCGAGTGTTTTATACGAAAGCGTATCGCGGGATTTGTTTACATTACATGTGTTGCTAAGAGATATTTGAGATTCTTAGACGTGCTGCCATCTAAAAATTATCAAATGAATTTCAAACTTAAATAAAATTGAAAGAAAGGATCACTGGTAAATATGATTAAAAATATAAAACAGTTTTATTTACAATATTTTACAAAATATTTTGTCAACAATTTATAACAAGATCATTCCAATATAAATTTTAGTGCTATTGTAACACTATGATGGCACAACACATCTTACATTTAAAGTACAGCTTTTATTTGCTCCATTAAAAAGCTTGTTTTTTCTGCGAGTGGCATCTTCTTCCAGCTAGTTCTATTTATCACAACAACCGGATAAGACATGGCTCTTAATGAATCTATTTCTATTCTATGCAATCCCAACAACTCATTTGTATTTCTCGTATACCACTGGTCAGAAACAGTTATGATAGGAACTCTAAAAAAAAGCGTTTTGAATTATAGGTTTGAGAGAGACAAATTTAAACATTCATGTGAAAATTTTTACATTTTACATCCTTCTGGTACTTGCAAATCCTCTAAGTAAACGTCACCCTCGTTATTTTGATTTATATCCCATGGATCTAATGTTGGATTTGCTTGAAAAGCTACAACATGTTCTGGAAAAAAAAATTAATTTAACAAAAATACATTATACTTCTTAAAAAAAACTTACCAATAACATGAAATAATTTAGTTTTAACGCCAGATTTTATGAATTTCGATCCACCAAGCCCTTCTTCCAAATAAGGATATAGTCTATTGTGACGTTTTTTAACTTTTTTAATCATATCATCATTATGGGATTCCAAATGTTTCATTTGCTGATCACTTGGTAGCGGACCATTGTAATTTTTATTAGTTTTCAATTTTTGATAAATTTTAGTAAATGTCCAAAGTAAAAATTCATTTTGATTGTAATTTCTTTCCTTATCGAAAAATTTTTTTAATAAGTATTCTGGATATGAATCTAAACTCAACATATTTGCTAATAAGATGCATAGAGTCTCATCATCAAAACTTTCCAATGATTTTGCTTCTTTTAAAGATTTTTCTATGTCTATCCAAAATATTGTTTTATGACTACCTAGAGATAAACCAGTGATTAATACAAGTAGTTTCTTTATCTCACTTCCAATATATTCCTGTTTCATAGTCCTTTTTTCAAAATACGAGGCACATCCATAATTTACTAATTCTTTGTTGTAATGCCGCATATTTGTGAGATTTCTAATAGCACTCAAGGTACCTTCAAAGCCCCAATCATTTTGTATAAATTTCTTAGCCATCAGATCTAGAAAGTATGGATTATAAAATACTTCATCCCTGCAAAATGAAAAATGTATTTATTTAATAATTGTCAAAGAAGAAGAAAAAAGTTGAAAAATATATATATTTACTTTGTGTTCTTAAGTTTGATATCTAATAAGAGTGTTATGAAATTTACTTGACCCATGTTTAATTCGTCACTATGATTAATAATAGCATTTTCAGTTTTTTTCAATGCCTTGACAATACTGTTTGATGGCACTTTTGCTTTTAGTATAGCTTCCATTATTAAATTAGCATTTTCTAAAGGAATATCGTCTTGAAAATTTTCAAAATGAGTTAAAAATATTTTGAATAAATTATTGCATGAGTTTTGAGCTGCAAATACTAATCCACTTGTCAAATGATCTATATTTTTTTTATCCAAATTCATTGATACTTTTACAATGAACTTTTGCTTCATGACAGTCCTTAACTTGAAGGTCAACGGACTTGATGGAATTCTGTTAATAATACGTGACACTGTACCATAGTCAGTAATAGAAAATTTATCTACTGATTGTAAAAGACTTTGTAGAGCAGAGAAAAATATTTTAGATGAAGAAGGTATTTTCATTTTGAGCAATACCTGCAGAAAATAAATTAAATCTGAGTTTGATAATTTATCTATATGTGGATTCATAGTCTTCTCAAAACTATCCAAAGAGCCAAGTTGATTCCAAATGTTGGATTGATCTACATTTGGTTCTGTAAGTGCTTGTTTGTAAATTTTTAAAAAGTTCCCTATAGCATAATGGAGGTCTTGGCTTTTCAAATCGTCTTTATTTTCTTCTAAAAATGATAATATATTCATTGGAGAGGGAGTATTAAAGTGGTCCGATAAATCATCATTGTCTGTTTTTGAAAATCTGGATCTGTCTTCTGTGGAAAAAATCATAAACTTATAAAAATATTAATTTGCAACATTCTTCGTCGCCATTTCATCATTCAAACCTTTTTTTGGATTTTTTGAATATGGATCATCGTAGATTAAACAAACTTGCGGTGAAAAGTTTGGTGATAGTTTGGGAACTCTCGACAACTTTGTAAGAACTCTCGCAAGCATTGTGGCTATATTTGTTTTTTTTTCTTACAAAAAAAAAAAAAAATTGATTTTCGAACTGCTCGAGTCAACCGATGTCTCTATAACAAAGTAAAAACAAAAATTCTTGTTGAGCAATAGACATAATCAGTTGCAATAAGAACGAACCTATAAATCATCAATGTAGCGGCATAACATTACTGCTCGCATGGCACACTGCGCTGCTACAATTTTATCGTCTGCTTCGCTAACCACGCAATAATCCGACGAAAACATAGAGTGTCTACTCGGCTTTCAGAAGCTCGCTTGAGTTCTTGTTTTCGCAGTCTTGGCGCTAATAGCTTGAAAATGTTAAAGGTGCATTCACACGCATATCGAGAATTTACCCATTTAACAGCAGTTTTTTTCATTGAAAAACTATATTTTCATAAATTTAATACAAACAAAAATTGAAAAACTAAATACAATTGTTTTTTTTTTATTTTTTAATATCCGTAAAATAAAATGTATAAATATGAAACCTACATCTACATGATTTACTCCAGTTTCATGCAAGAAAAACGAATGTTTTACGTAATTCTGTTTTGTATTTGTTAAGCTAATCGTCCTAAATGTCGTCCAAATATGAATTTTTTACATGGATTTGTAATGCTATTTTGAAAACTATCATGTTGTTTCGTAAAATTCATTCAAATTTTATCAATACCTTTTAATGATGTTAAATATTGAATACCTAAAAGTGTTATGTCTCGCACAAAGGCATTTTATAATTTATTGAAGCAATTTATTCAGATACTAATGAAATTATATCAATGTACGAAAATATGACTATAATAAGCTATTTATGAGAATGAATGTACAATAGTTCGGGATATCTAAAATCCACAAATTTGAAATATGGTCAGAGATTTTGTCTCAACTATGCGAGCATGAAAATCTTCTCTGCCGTAGAGATGTCAGTAAATTATAATAAATTTCATCTTTATTTCAAGCTTATAGATGTCAAAAACACTAATTTAATTATGCATACACTCGAGAATCATTGACCGTTGGTACTAAGTATATAAGATAAATGGCAGATTTTTAAATGGAAGTCCCTTTCCTTTGAAGTCGTTTGAGCATACCGAAATGCCAAGCGAGTTCGCAAGCTGCCAAAGAATCGCGAGTGCACCACAAAGGAAAATCGTTACGTGTATCTCTGACCTATCTCTGCGACGTTTCTCTCTCTCTTTCTTTCTTTTTTTTTTGCACACACGCTACCGATAGCCGCCCATCTCCAAATTGATCATCAGTCGCTCGCTATTATTCGTCACGTTTTTACAACACACCCCGATCCTGTCAATCTCCCTGGTTTACTGAATATGTCAACCCCCCCGTTCACCCTCACCTGATTTATATGCGCGACTCCGAGTGTCAATGACCCAGATCTTACGCAGTCAATACAGTAAATTCGAAGCCGTATTAAATAAGTTTTTAAATCAGTGCACGATTTGGATGGTTACATAAGTTATGCGATTTTTCGAGTGCAGCAATTTTTGGAAGCCGATTTTCATGTAGACGAAATTTCATAAAGGTAAGTAATTCAGTTTCAACTTTTGGTATTTAGTTAATTTAACGTTTTTTCATGAAATTTTAATTTTCCACTGTTTAGTTTTTTTAAGTATTCAAAAGCATTGCAATGGCAGAAGAGCCTACCAAAGCAAATGAGGTGAATTTGATGAATATTACCTTTTTACCGTGAATTTAAAAGAAAATTGTCACTTATTTTCAATTCTTGATTTACGTTCACAGATCGACAAAATTTTAGATTTGTACAAATGCATGAGTTTAAATCCTTACGTCGTTTCTGCTCGAATTATTTCTATCGCTAGAAATGGAATTTCTGTCCAAACTGTCTGGGCACAAAGAAATCTCGAAAGAAATGAGCAGCAAAAATTTACGCAGGATCTTAGCTTGGATGCTGAATTACAACTTCTAGTCGAAAGCTTTCCCATCGATGTCTCTACGCAGTTAGTACCATGAAAATTGAAATGTAAAAACAATTTTCATATAGATATAATTAACAAATAAACCCAAATTTTACAGACTTTTGACCACATCTTCAGAAAATGAAAAGTTCAAGGCAATTTTAAGACAAGTGACAGTCGATGGAAAGCCGAAACAGTATATCGAAGTATGGGATCGACAACATCGCATCAGAAATTACGATCTTAGTGCATACGATGTGCACGGAGAAATTTACTCAGACAGTAAAATCCATTACTTTATGTTTAGGAAATTTTTTTTCTTAATCCGTAACATTACCCTTACCATTACAGATATTTTTAGCTCATTTCACTTTTCACCCGACAATACCAAACTCATGTACGTCGCAGAAAAAAAATTACCAAAAGTAGAGCCATTTTATACGACTAAGCCAAAGAAGCAAACTCCTGCCTCAGAAAATAAACCAGAACCAATTAGAGTAAAGATTACTTCTGATTTTTAATTTCCTCTAGAGAGTAAGTCACACAGTTTTTTTTATAAATAAATAAATCTCTCCGCAGGGTCAAGAGTATGCATTCAAACCACATTGGGGCGAGCAATTAGAGGGTCGACACCGTTCAGTAGTGATAATTTTGAATCTTCAAAACGACACGTTTTCTGAAGTCACTCAAGTACCGGATGAATATTTTCCGGCTGAAACGATTTGGTCCGCCAAAGGCGATTGCATCGTCGGAGTGGCATACAAGAGATACCCAAGGTACCTTGGTCGTTTCAATTGCAGCAATCGCGAATCGTACTTGTTCGTAGTTAAAAACAATGAATTTCGTGAGTATCGTAGAGTCTAATTTTAAATTCATTCTTTTTCAATATGCATATTTTTATCGTAAATTTTCTGCAGGTTTACTAACTACTGCTGGAAAAGCTTGCAAAACACCTCAATTCAGTCCGGACGGAAGGTACTTGATATGGCTAGAAAGAGAAACTGGTAAACAGCATCACAATGTACAGCGACTCATGAAGATTCAATGGGGCTTCAATGAGACTGTAAATTTACTTGATATGAATGTGTGAGATCTTATACTTGAACTTGATAAATTATTTTTTATTTTCAGCCTGATATATTAGTAGATGTAGTAAAAACAAGCATAGAAATTGCCGACAAAAAGAAATTTTTCGGATTTTACGGTCATAACATACCCAAGCGTTGCTGGAGTAGAGATTCAAAATATTTATTCTTAAGTACTCAGCAAAGATCTAACATAAAATCCTACGTAGTTAGTTTGGGTAAATGTAAAATGATTTTTACAAAAAATATCCTAAATTTCGAGGATAATAATAATATTCATTTTTATTTTGGATTATAGAAACGAAAATTATAGCAGAAATAGAAAATCCTGACGGTAGCAGTTTAAACATTCTAGATGTCCGAAGAAATCGAATTGTTTTCACGAGAACTTCAAATATTCTACCGCCTCAATTGGTCGTTGGAAAATTTGATCCAACAAAGCCAAAAATAGGAGCTATCAAGCTGGTGAATCTGACGAAACCTCTTTTGATTCCTAGCAAAGAGAGACTCATTTACGAACACATAGAGTTTGAATATAAAACAGATGAACCAGTCAGTGAGTTTGACTTGAATCTAAAAATTGCGTGCATTTATGTTTTATTAAATCAGAGTTTAATGATTTTTTTCGCACTTGTAGGAGACTTTAACTTCACTTACTTTGGTTACAAATCGACGAAAAAGCATTCGATGCCTTTGCTCGTAGTTCCTCATGGAGGACCGCACGATTCATTCTGCAATCAATTCAACATGGATCTGGCAATTTTTGCTCTTTTAGGTAATGTCTAACAATTTTGCAAACAAGAAGAAATTATCAATAAAAATAATACTCATGTTCGTTAGGTTTTGCTATAATACAAATCAACTATAGAGGATCTTCAGGAATGGGTAGGGACAACATCGAATTCCTCACTGGAAATATCGGTGAGACCGATGTTCTCGATTGCATGACAGCTCTCAAATTGGCTCTAGCCAAGTATCCACATATCGATCCTGCTAAGGTGGCTCTTTATGGCGCGTGCCACGGAGCCTTTTTGTGTGCTCATTTGAGTGGACAAAACCCAGTAAGCCCTTGATAGTAGTAGTTCGATAAGATAATAATAGTAATGAAATAGTTTGATAACAATTATTGTGTTGCCCAGGACTTATTCAGAGCTGTTGTAATGAAAACTCCGATTATCGACATCCCATCTATGTACACCAACACCGATATCCCCGACTGGTACTTTATGAAAATGAAAATTCAAACGATAACGCGTTAATTGATCTAATCGTTTAATTTATTGCATAGGTGTCCCGCAAATACTGGTTGCAAATTTCTCGAACGTTTACCCCCGGCTGCTTTGAACACGAATTACTCAGAGATTACTTTGCACATGTTCGATCGCTCGCCCATACAATTCGCGGACAAAGTCAAAGCACCGACTCTCATTGCCGTAGGCACGAAAGATTTACGTTGCCATTCGTCTCAGGGTAGACTGTGGTACGGCCGATTAACCGCCAATCAAGTACCAGCTAAGTAAGTTATTGTTCTGACAATCATTTTCAATGAAGTGCAATGAATATTTTTTAACGAATTATTTTTTATAAATTTAGACTATATGTTTACGGAGATAACCAAACTCTGTCGAAAGAGGAAATAGAAATTGATTTCGTTATCAATGCGTCTCTGTGGTTAATTAAACACGTTGCCAACGTCGTGCCACAAATAACAATTCAACCAACTATTGTTGCCGAAGAAGTGAAATTGCCAGTTGAAGATCCACCCGTCAAAGCAGTCAAGGAAGAGGTCGAAGTGAAAGAAGAAGAAAAGACAGAAGAAACCGTAGAACAACCCGCAGAAGCCTAAATGTGTATAGAGTCTGGCTTTATTTATATTAATTTTTTCGCCATATGTAATCGCTCATACATTTTAAACGTAATCACAAATACAAGAACTAATTTATCCGCTGTATCTCAATTATATTTACTTAAAATACAACAACTTGATCATTTTAATGAAGATTTTTATTCTACGAACACATCCCCATGAAATATAAATATTTTAACTCGTTGAAAAATTAAAGCATAACAATAACTGACATTTTTTGAATTTTTTCAAGTTCGATCATCGCTTTGAGCAATCTACTTTAATACCGGTTGTGTTGCTCTTGAGCAAGTCTTAATTATCAACATGAGTTCAACTAAGGTCAGTAAATTACCTTTTATTATTATTTACATATTTTTTATTAAAACATTAATTATACTTCTCATTAATAAATTTTAGGTCAACGAAATTATCAAAGTATATAAAAAATTGGCTCAAACGCCAAATCTCGCGTCAGCGAAAATTGTTTTCAATCCGAATAACATAACAACAATAGAGAGTCAGTGGTCGTCGCGCAATTTAGAAACAAAAAAGAAGAACAAGTTCTCGCAATCTTTCTTCTTCAATGAAATGACACCAATTGCCAAAACCTTCCCCGCAGACACAACTTCCGAGTAAGCTCGATTGATCTCGAATGAATTTTTAATTATTTACAGGTTTTTTTTTTAATTTCCTAATTATATTTCAGGCTTATGAGTGTTTCTTCTTCCGATGACTCCATCAGAGCAATTTTGCGAGAAATATCCATTGACGCGAAATCGAAGCAATTCGTTGAAATTTGGGACAAGCAGCAACTCCTCAAGTCTTTTGACTTGGCTGCTATGGATGTTCACGGAGATGTTTACACAACTCGTTAGTGCATTGCTCACTTAAAACAATAAATGTACGAGATAAATTAATACCATTGAAAATTTACGGTAAATATTTTTTCTCAGCTACGTTCGCTTCGTTTCATTGGTCGCCGGACAATACTCGCTTGTTGTATCTCGCCGAAAAGAAGCTACCAAAATCTGAATCGTTTTTCACCCGAAAAGCGAAAAAGAATAAAGATCAATCGTCTGAGGATTCAATTGTGCCTGTAAAGTTCAAAATCTATTCAGTCATTATTATTACTTTTTGCTATCAATATTTAACAAAAATGAACCCTCTTTCAGGGCAACGAATACGTTTACAAACCCGAGTGGGGTGAACAACTGGTCGGCAAGCACAGATCCGTTGTCGCCATACTAAATATCGAGGAAGAGACTTTAACCGCCGTCGAAGATATACCCGAAGAATATTTCCCGTCTCAAGTTTGCTGGGCTCCCAACGGCGAAGATATCGTTGGAATCGTTTACAAATTGTACCACCGATATCTTGGATTGATGTTTTGCACCAACAGGGAGTCGTACGTGTTTCATTTGAAGAAAAACGATTTTCGTGAGTTGCATTAGAATTCGTAATCGATACACGAGAGCACTGTATGTTGAAAAATAATCGACTAAAATTGATAAAATTTAAAATTAAGGTTTGCTGACTGGAAAAGATATATCCGTACGCGCGCCTCGATTCAGCCCCGATGGAAAGTACTTGGTCTGGCTGGAAAGAGATATGGGTCCAGCTCATCACGACGTTCAAAGACTCATGTACATGGAATGGGAGCAACAAGTAGTAAGTATAAAACAAATGTATAAAAAAAGCTGATATTCAACTTATTGAAGTATCGTCATCATCAACTTTCAGCCCCAAGTACTAATAGATGTCGTGGACACGCACATTACGATTGCAAATAAATCCAAGTTTTACGGAGTTTATAATCAAAATTTTCCAAAGCGTTGCTGGAGTGAAGATTCAAAGTTTCTCTTTTTTACTACTCCCCAGAGAAACACTTTCAAGTCGTATTCAGTTAATTTAGGTAAATATTTATTTTCTTGAAATTATATAACTCAAATAATTTTCATAGCAAACTTTATGAATTCAATTTTTTTTTTATACTTCAGAGACAAAGGAAATAAGAGAATTTGATGGAATGTCAGATGATGTAAGTTATGGCATTCTAGATGTTAAGGGAAAATACATTTCTTTGGTTGCTACATCTTTAACTCTTCCGACGCAATTGTTACTTGGAAAGTATGAATACAATTGTCAAAACGAATTATTGATTCATTTACAAGAATGCACCAAACCTGCATTAGATCCTGTACTGACAAAAGATATCATCTTGGACCTTAACGAATACACTTACAAAAACGAGGATTCAGTCAGTATGTACTTCAAAATATACCTTTTTTTAATTTTTAATATTGTCAACCAGTAATTTATAAAAAAAATGTACTTATCTACAATTTTTACTATTCAGAGGACTTCAATTATATTTATTTGGGTAAGAAAAATGCTCCTGATAAATCAGTTCCATTGATAGTCGTGCCTCATGGAGGTCCTAATTCGAATTTTAGTAATGATTTCATTGTATCCCACATGTTTTACGCTACCCTTGGTGAGTTGCAATTAAAACGTTATCGTTAAATAATTCAATGAGTGCAAATTGATAAAACTTTTTTTACATAAAATTAGGATTTGGAATTTTACAAATCAATTATCGAGGATCAACTGGCATGGGAGGAAAAAATGTTGACTACATCCTTGGAAAAATCGGCTCTTCCGAGATCGAAGATACTATAACTGCGATCGATGAAGCTTTGCAAAAGTATCCTTGGTTGGATCCAAAAAATATTTTTTTGAATGGGGGCTCTCATGGAGGATTTATGATTGCTCATCTTACAGGGCAATATCCGGTACAGAGTCAAATATTTATACTTCGTAGTAATTATTGAGAGCCTTTGTAAAATTGTACAATTTTTATTATTTCAGGATAAATTTCGGGCGGCAGCTTTGAGAAACCCCGTCATCGATTTACCTTCAATGTTCAGTTCATCTGACATACCAGATTGGTAAGTACTGTACATTTTCTCAAAGTCACACTGGATAATTTCCAAGTTTAGAATTCATTTTTCAGTAGACACACTTTGACACGGGAAGAAAGAGCAAAATATCGCTGTTTCTTGCACCTTGAACCTGCCATTATAAAGTAGAATATCCTCAATGATCGTAATAATCTAAAGCATCACCATTCATGTTTGATAATTTCAGGTGTTCCTCTCAAAGTGGCATTAAAGATGTGGATGTGAGCGATAATGGCGATTTTAAAAAGAAGCAAGAAGAAATGATGCTTAAAATGTTAGCTCATTCTCCTATTTTGCTAGCCCATAAAGTGAAAACTCCTACACTTGTAGCCATAGGTTCCAATGATTTGAGAGTTCCTCCGCATCAGGGCAAACTGTGGTTCAATCGGCTGCGCGAAAATAATACTAAGGCCAGGTAAGCTGTTTGATTTTGTATTCGTAAATAAACATTCGTATTAATTTTAATTAATTCTCTAGGCTTTATGTATATGACGACAATCATTCTTTGAGTAAAGATGAAGTTGATATGGATTTTGTTATAAATTGTATCATGTGGTTCATAGACCATCAATCGAGCTGAGCTAAATTCTGTATTAAATATAATCATAAATGCAAAAAAACAATAAACTTTTTCAACTTGCATAAAAACTTTTCTTTTTGTCTTTATTCACAAAATTCTGTTTTATCACTCATATCTATGAAATGTATAAAAAACAAACTTTTTTAATTTAAGAAATTCAATACATTTCAATTAGTGTAAAATTAATTGATCATAAATAACTTATTTAACTCTTGCAAATAAATATACTTCTAACAATCAATTTTTCGAAAAATTTTAATAAACTACTATATTTGAGACTACAGATGGGAAAAATTCTTTTTCTCAAAATTTTTTCTTAATTTTTGTGACTTATAAATAATTTTTATTTTTGTTTCATTATACTTACACTGTATAAAAAGTGCATAAGTATAAACATTGCGATTATATACAAGTACAAAAATATAAAATATTGCTAGTGTAAACATCTCAATATAAATATAAATATATCAGTACAAGGTCTTTGTTTCAATATTGTCGATTAAACGTATATACAAATGTTAAAATTCACTTCAAAGAATAATTTACATTTTTTTTTTAATTTCAACTAGATCACTCAGTTTACTTGTTCATTAATTGTACTATAAAACATACAGATGGTATCTCAAAGCAAGAAAAACATTTAATTCCTAAGTCTGATTAAAGATAAAGTGTTCTATGTTACATATGCATAATGGACTACTTTTTTCATGTTTGTTTTATCTGTACAAGTATTAAATTGTTAATTAAAATCTCCACTTATATATTTTATTATTTAAAATATCTAATTAAAACATTAGATAACTAGAATAATGTCATTACCATGAATAAAATCTTCAATTTACTATGCATTATCTGTGGTATTAGCTGCAGGGGGAAATAGTGAATCATAGCTGGGTGGTAAATCTTTATCTGGAGAATTTGAGACAGCAACTTCAAGCATTGGAGCTGAAGATACTGGTAAAGGATGAGAAACACTATGATCTCTCCTCTGCATAGGTAGTTGCACTGCACTATCATTCACAACAGATGGGCCAGCACAGTCAGAAGACCAACACAATTTTTTATACTTGCGACATGTCCATAAACACAGTGTAAGTATAATTACACAAATAAGTAAGCCAGTCACAGCTGCATAAGTCACTTTGGCTTTTGCTTCTTGATCTTCCCTTAATAATTTCTTAATTTCTCCATTTCTTTTGTTAGTACAGTCGTATTCATCAGAACAATGAGAACTAGCACAGTTAATAACATTATCACAATGTAATTTAGATTCAATACATTTACGTGGACCATTTACAGATGTTGCCCCAAAAACACCATTCTTAAAACTTTCACAATCTACAAAATAAAATAATATTTAATTTAATGAATATTTTAAACATTTAAAATAATAACAAAACTACTAACCAATGAAAGGAGTAAACGCTATAATTAAGTCCAATTTTTCACCTCGCTTGAGAGGTTGTTTTGAAACAAATACTTCTGTGGTAATTTTTCCTTTTCTACTCAATTCATCAAAACCTTTAACGATCTGTTCTTCCTCTGAGCTGTCTTCCTTAGAATCATCTTCATCATATTCATCATCCAATGAAGACTCAGCTAATCTTCTCGTGCCATCTATAGTTTCCAATTTTCCACAATAACGATCGGATGAACCACCATTTTCTGATAAAAACTTTAAGAACAAATTAAAATTTTAAACTGTACTACACAATTGTCAAGTGATGCAATAGACAATATTTCTTACCCTTATATAATCTAGGCATTCAACAGTTCCATTGACAACGTGAGATCTTAAAGACATTTTTTGAATTACCGCAAACAGTCCTCGTTCAAAAGGTGCTTGGACTTTAAATTTACACTTCATCTCGGTTCTACGAGACTCAAATTTGTGCGACTGCTTAATTATCAAAGCATTCTCTTTAAGACTTCCTAAGTATATCGTTTGTGTTTTTCCCAATGGATGGCACACCTCGGAACTCTCCAAACCCACTGTAACAATAAAGTTGTATTAGATTTTTCAATGATTAACAAAATCAAACAGTCATAATTGATCAACAAAAACAGGCAAGTGAAAGTAAACGGAGCGCAGTAGACTGCACAGTGTATACTCACGTTGATGGTAGTTGGGATAGTCTGTGCTTGCAGCCACGAGGTCGACCACCAGAATGTCAAATGTTACGAAGAGGAGCGTAATCCAAAACAAACGGTCGACGAGCGTGCGATGATCAGCCATTTTGTACGTGATCTGTCATGAATTGCCATGTAAAAAGCGGAATCTCCCGTGCAGTTATCTGTCCAGCGTAGTTGGATTCGTAACGAGGATCGTGGGTATCTCTCTCTCTCTATATTCTATAAATACACATAAAATTTATAAATATAACACTACTCGCGCTAGAGAATTGGTTTCGGAGTCACCACGGCGGGCGTAAAAGTGTAATTGACGCACACGGGCGTGGAGAGAGTTCGCCGAAACGGAAAGTAGCCACGCGCGCTCGTGTGTATATAGGATAAGATTGTAACTGCGCTCTTTGTACTACCTACTATCACGCGAACACGAGAACACTCACGTGCGTATACACGATCGCAGGGCAGCAGCAGCACAATGTGCAGTACACAGCACGTGGGATCTTATGGCACTTGTTGTTTACACGATGCACGATCGATCGAACGGATGTCCTATACGTATATGACGCACAGCCAACTTATAGTATAAGTTTGTATTAAACGCAGCGAGCACACCAAGTACAAACGCACATGCACACGCACACATTAATATAGGCGCGACGAAGAGCTTCGCAACTCTCGCAACGACAAATAAAAGGCTGCATTATATATAGTGTATATAGGTATGAGCTAGGTATTACCAATCGCGAGTTGTTATTACGCACATTTCAAGCGATGACGCTCGCCACGATGTGTTGTATGCTGCTCCAGCCACTGACACAATACTCACCGTTCGTCGCGCTCTCCCAAGCCATTCACCGCGCGCGCGAACAGTCACCGCAGCTTAGCGTAGCCCCCACTACGCGCCCGTTATGTGCATGTGCTCGCGGGGCGACTGCCTCGATTGATAATTCTACCCAAACGCTATTACGTTATATCAGGACAAGCTTATTTTTTAAACTCCTTCGTCTCGCGGTCTACTATTATTTTGTGAAGTTTCAATAAGATTTTTCAAATCACTCATTCATAGAAATTTTTTTTATGTACTCAAGACGAGAATCGTACGTTTCATAAATGCATAATTACATTGAGAATTAGAGTATTTGACACCGAAAATCAAAACATTATTGAGATTTATTAAAATTTCAACTACTATATGATAGCAGGTCGACTATATCGTTTGAGCAAAGGCATACGACATCTATTAGTCATTACTGGCATAACATTTATTCTATTCGAGTTGGTCATTTGTATCGGTCCAAATATCTATGAAGACATTATGCCACATATTAGAGTGTTCCTTCGGCATTATATTTTTGATAAAATCAAGTCTTGATAAAATGATGAAATAAATCTCGGCGCGTCTTCGAGAGAGTATAGTCATTGTTGTATGCGTTGACCAGTAGATGTCGTATGCCTTTGCCTAAACGAAATAGTCGACCTGCTATCATATAACATGAATCGGTTTTGATCAACTCATTAGTCAGTTTTCTAAACATATTTACCTACTCATTGCTCAAAGACACGATATTTAAAAAAAACACAAAAATATACAGTTATGAGTCATGCTACGATTCGACGTTCAAACTGTTGTAACGATCGACGCAGCGCATAGTTCAAAGAGTGACGAATTGCAGACGTCGCAGGCAGCAACCACCGTTCACGACGACTACCATCATGGAAGAACCTGCAGAATTATGCGATCTACAAATAAAGTACTTGCTCAAAATTCAACTTCCATAAGTCGACACCAAATCGGATGCTGTTATCGATCTGCATCGAGTGTACTTTTTACGTTTAACCTTCATTTTCGGTCGGGTAGCAGGCGAAAACACCTCCAGTGACCCGAACCACAGGTGGCTTCGCACGATTCTCCCGACGTGTCGAAATTCGTTTTACAACAACGGCGTCGATAACGATCCGATTGGAAATCGATGTTCTTATCTTACGATTTCACTCCCGAATTATATTTTATGCATTTGCAGTCTGGACATAGTTGATATCGAATGCAATTTTCCGCCAATCGACTTTGGCTCTGTTGGAGCTGGCTACAAGAAAACTGCCCAAATCACCGTCTATGGTCCTGCATCACCAACGTATACAGTGAGTGTATAGTTCACCCGCTGCATTAATTCGACTAAATGGCCAGTAACTAATATTTCATCGTTCGTCTATTGCTTACCCGTAGATGTATACGTACAGCTTTGAGCTGAGGAGTACGAGCGAAATAGACTCTGTGTTCGAATTAGAAGGCTCCAACAAAAGCACTTTAGAAGTCGGCGTTGAGGATACGAAAACCATGAAAATCCATTTCAAACCAGATTTGCCTCATCGCCTGTATTCCTGTTTACTCTGGATATCCGTGCACGAAGGGAGCAAACCAATAAAATCGAACCACATCTTCATTACTGGATTGTCGAGAGGTAATACGGTGCTTACGATCCACATCCAAAGCCTTGCCCCTCTTTAATCGTTTTGTAGGCTCAAGAGTCTCGGCCGATTTCAACAAACTCATCTTCGTATTGAAAAATTCCTGCGAACCTAGAGTGAAATATTTAAAGTTAACCAACGCTTCGGACGAGGAGAGCGACTTCGCGATCGAGAACCATTGCGAGCATTCCGCGTTTAAAATCGAGCCGAGATTCGGCAAGATGACGCCGAGAGAGACAGTGGAGTTGAAGATCGAGTTCCGACAAGATAAAACTGGAATGAACAAGTGCATACTGCCGATACTTTTCTCGAAACAAGCAAGCTATCGCACCTGTGAATTACTTCATCGATATTAATTTTATCGCAGAAATAATAATCGTGGTCTAATGACATTTTAAGGCGCCGATTTTCGTGGAACTTTACGGAGTTTATAGCTCGGTCGACAATTACGACTGGGAATGTGTGCTGGAGCATCACAAATCAAACGTGGAGAATAGTTACGCGAGTTACATGAGCGACGTTCATCCAGTCGCGGAAGAGTTGGAAGGAACGTGGCCGAATCCACCGGCGAACATCGTGGTGTCTCCGGATACGATTTTCTCGTGGGACGATTGCCACGAGAGCGAAGAAAGTTGCAACTCCTACACGATCGAATTGTATAACAGAAACAGTTATAGGGTGTACGTCGTTTGGGAAGAATATTTTTTTACGGGTATGTTGATGAATTAGCCTAATCAGGCTGTAGTATCGATCAACGACACCGAGAGTTCATCGATTTTTCAGATAAGTGGCTGCCCTTCATAATAGAGCCAGAATCCGTTATCATCAATTCAAAAGAGAGTTCGGAGTTCGTCGTTTCCTTCCACCCGTCTGGCGAGAATGAATTTTACTCGTGCCTGCGCAGAGCTCTGGTCTATCGATTACCGGAAAACGACGACGACGACGCGAACATCGAAGTCAATCCCGAAAAACTCATGGAAATGACGATCGTACCCGAGATCGTGTCCATCAAGCTTATAGGTAAAATCACGCGTTCGACGGACATGCATGTGCGCTTTCTTATACGTCATATTGTTCAGAGTATAGAAGTACCCGAAAAACTTTCTTTTTTTCGAGTAATCGAATTTTCGGGTGAATCCGATATTTTCTCCTCTTGTTTTCGTTGCTCACCATCGAACGACACGCACGCTGTTAGAAAGTACGAGCCTAGCGGAGTAGGGGCAAAACTTGTACTATGCCTATAGTCAGATGATACTTTCACTGCGTGTCATGCCCACGTGAGACCCCCACTCCGCTTTTCAATCGCTACTGCGCACATGGCTTTGGAGCATGGTCAGAGCTTTGCTGGCAGCAGGCGCGACGCGAACGCGTCCGGCGCCGAAGGATCAACGGCTTGGCACATTTTATGCAAGAAAATTAATGACCCCTTTGAGAAGCCCTTCATCGACTTATTCAAACATTGTCGGCAAAGAAATCGAAGGTTGCGCATCAACGCCCAAGACGCGCTCGGTAACACGCCGTTGCACGTGTTTGTGCAACGGAGCCCGACGAGTTCCACCCCGCATACGATCGACTTTTTGCTGAGTCACGGCGCTGATTTGAATTTGGCCAACGACGAGGGATCGACACCTCTGCACATCGTTTGCAAATTACACGGGCGCGATTTTCTAGATGACGGAAGGAGGGAGGTGGGCTGCAAGTTGCTGGAAAACGACGCCAATCCAAATTTAGCAGATAAGAAGGGAATGACTCCTCTCCACTCTGCTCTCATGAACCACAACGTGGATTCGGATTTGATCGCATTGATGTTGAGAAAAGGCGTCGATCCAAATTTGGCCGACGAGCAGGGAATGACTCCTCTCCACTTGGATGTCAAAATGAAAGACCAGAATTTGATCGAGTCGATGTTGATGAGAGGCGGCAATCTGAATTTAGCAAATAAGAAGGGAATGACTCCCTTCCACTTTGCTCTCGAGCATAACAACGAAGCTTGGATCATAATGCTGTTGAAAAAAGGCGGCGATCCAAATTCGGCCAACGAGGAGGGAATGACTTTTCTGCACTTGGTTTGCTCGAGTCGCGAATGCGACCTCGAGGCGGCGGATACGCTGCTCGAGCTCGAGCGGATATTATGCAACGACGAGCATCGGCCGCTGCAGATCGACGCTCGGGACAAGAAGGGCAGGACACCGCTGGAATTGGCGGTGGCGAATTTTTGGCCGCTGACGGTCGAAGCGATCTTGGAGCGCAGCGTCGATGTATCCAACTTCGTTTTCCCCACCGAGAGCTGCTTCGGCGAGGGAGGGCCATGGCTGAGCTTGGAAGTTCGGTTGATGAGTAAATTGAAGCTGGTCGCTAGCGCTATGGCCATCGTTGAAAGTTTAGAGAAAAGGGGATACGAATTTTACCGAAGCGACGCTCTGAGGATCGTGAAATTTTTCGCCGACAACGAGCTGTTCGAGAACGCGTAGTCGGGTCTCGCTAAACATTGGGACAACGAATTGGATTACGCGAGCAAAGCCAAAGAGATATTATTGAGCTATCGCTCAAGCACCTGATCCGGCTACAAAGCGGTGACGTGGTGAAACGACTCACGGTCAAAGGGTCAAGAAGAGACTTCTAGTGGCATTTGTTTTTCACCAGCCGCGAAGATACTTTTATTTTGCACCTGTGCGAGAAAATGTCGAGGAAATTTTTCCAGTCCTGGGCACTGGATTGTTTCTGCGAGTTGATACACTGCCGATTGCCGATTCTCTGCTGCGAGATGATTATCGAGAACCTGACGAACAGGGATTTGTGTAATATTTGTTTGGCGGATGCAAGCCTAAGCTCGTGATGGCGATGAGCATATCCGATATGTATTTTTGTAATGTTTGATATAATTTAATTTTAAAGAATTTCCATACTATTCAAATAAATAAATTTAAAAAAAAAACAATTTTGATTTTCCAATTTCTTGTAAGCGCCCGATCATATTTTGAAACAAAAGATCTCAAATTCTTCACACGAGACTTGATAAATACATCAAAGAATATAGTACATAATAATTGACCACATTTGACATTCGTGCAGGTGACACCTATTTTCGCCCTCTGCCCTGTCCGGAGTGGGAGGAGCCGCGAATTATCACGATGCCGGAATGCTATCTGTCTGAAGCCACCTACACGACCTTCGCGTTGAGAAACGTTGGCAAAGAGCCGGTCGTGTTTTGTTTCGAGTCCCCAAAAGACAGCCACTTCTGCGTCAAGCCGTACATGGGTGTCGTGCAGGGCAGCGACTCCGGGGACTCGAAGTAATAGCAAAACTTTGTTTCATTTATCAAAATAAAATCCTTGACTCGTCCCTTTCAGTTATCAATTGATCGTCGTGAAAATGGTTTCGAGCCAGAGGGACGAATTCGAGGAAAATAAAAAGTTCGAGCAGTTATTTTACGAGTGCTGGCGAGTCGTGCTGAACGGAGAGAGAGCCGAGTACATCGAGTTTCGTGGCAGCGTCGAGAACATCCACGTGGCGTTCGGGCAAGATGAGACGAAACTCTTCGAAGCTTGCCTCGATTTTAAAAAGCCAGAAAACTGCGTCAATTTCAATCCCGTTCGTCATATTTCCGAGGATAAAGTCGAAGTGACGATTTACAACAATACTCGGCATTCTTTGTGGTAAAGATTGGCGTTTGATTTCTAAAAAGCGCAGTTTAAAAAAGTAAGTTCGTAAAATTTTTTCAGTTTTCGTTGTGAGGAAGCAGAGTCTCACAAAGGCAAATTGGATTTCTTACGTCCCACAAAAGAAGTCATGGACTGCTCACCAGATGTAGACTTAATCGGTAGCAATCAAAGAATCGTACAAACTTGGCATTATGATGAAGCATACGAGGATGTTAGTTTCAATACCTTCTGGCATTTTTGGATAACTAATAACAGCGGAAAAAAAAAAAGCATTACAGTGACAGTTAGCGTAGTGTTAGATGAACTAAAACTTGAAGTATAAGTTCTATGCATATTTTATTTTTTGACCTTTCAGAATGTAATTGTAAAAGCATGGATTATTTTCAGGCTTCTAGAAATCCTGTAAACATTCTTATATCGGATTATCATTCAGACCATATCGTCGAAGACTTTTCGATTAAAAATTTGAATAATAAATGCATGACCTTATCTATGCCATTCATCGAAGACAATCAGATCAGATTTCACCCTTCGACATTCCAAATCGAAGGGGGTGAAAGCAAAAATATAAAAATTCACTATACACCGATAGAACTAGTCGAAGAGACCCGAGTAATGGAAATTGTAATCATGCGAGAGTCCGGGGACGTCGCTCATTGTATGAAACTTTTCGATTTAAAAATCACTTGTCGCTTCGATCTGAAAGTAAACAATTTTCATTGGTTTTATTGATTTACAAAAATGTTACACACGAGCTCTTTTGATCTTAGTTTCAGGAAACGAAATTCTACGCTGAAACAAATAAATTTATAAGCGAATATTTCCTACGGAACTTTATGGAAATCAATCGGTAAATTATTATAATAAGTTGAGGTAAAATTGAAACGATTAAAAACTGAACGAAAAAAAAAACTATTACAACAGGTTACAAGATCTATGCAATCAATTAGAACCCAACGAAAAACCAAATCCAGAACTCCAATTAAAGGTACCTTGCAGAGATCTGGAAGATGGCGAAAAATTCACCGTCCACCTGCGATGCAAAAACGACAATACTTTCCCTATTATTTGGAGATTCAAGAGAATAAATTGTCCTTGTTCACGTTCTCCGCAATCTCGGCAATGTTGTTGTGGTGATTATTCCATAACGATCAATTCAGGCAAAGATTCTTTCTGCGTTTTACCGGTTAATTATCGTTATTGTTCGTATATCTAACAATCTACAAAACCTCGTTGATATCGTTGAATTTTCTGTTTTCAAAAGAATTCAAGAAATTATCTGACGATCGAAATTTCCAATGATTCAAACAAGAAAAAACTCCCGGCAGCTTGGGCAGTTGACATAATGGCCAACAGATTCATCGATTTGACAATAGTGCCTGATAAACCGAACATCGTATCGAGCTCTTACCTGACTTTCAATAATTTACCCTCGGCTTTGAGAAAATTCAGTGACATACCTTATCAGGTTACTTTTTGCTTTCCTACATTGATGTGCAGATAATCAAACTGAAATTTGATTCACACAGGCACTGTGGCTGTGCAACGACAGCGAGACCGTAATGCCGTACGAAATCGACGTCAATTCCGATCGAACGCCGATGGAATCGTCGGATACTACAGGCTCGTTGACTGGGCTCGCTCGGACGGCGGTAGTCTTGAGAATCAGATCCGATCAAATGGGCATAAACACAGTGGGTATCCACGCGATCAGATCATTTTATGGATTAAAAACATCGAATACACTCCCGCAGGTTAAATTTAGGGATATGGGCATGTCGTGCGATTCGATGAAAATCGGCGCTGAACCGATCGAAGACGGCATATCGGTAGGGTGGGATCATCGTCGTGACGGCGACGATGCGGACATCTCTCAACTTGGACTCTTCGCTTCGATAGAACCTAATTTCATCGAATTGACGATAGCAACGAACCGCGAGGATTCTAGAAGATTCATCATAAAAAATACCCACAAACAGCACGCGTTAACTTATAAATGGAGCAAGTATGTTGCATCAATTTCTACCAACGCTTTAAATGTATAACATGATTACCTTATGTTAATATGCTCGAAAAATTGCTCCAAGTTGCATCGTACCGGAGACAGTGCGCGTTGAGTTTCGTGAAAACAGGTATTTCGATTTACGCTTTGAATATAGATTGATTATTTTTTCGTTAACTTCTTAAAAATTTACTCTTATGCAGCGAAGGCACACTTGGACCAGAAACCCAGAAGGAGATGAAACTTCACGTTAGAACGGAAGACAGAGAATGCGTCATCGACATCGATCTGTATTGTCGATTCGAAGACTGCGCGAGGAGGAGCGAAATCTGGAGGCAAAAAAACGCCGAGGTAGGGCAGTCTCGTTGGTTTTTCCCGAAGCAAATCTGTAATAACTAATAACGTGGGAAAAAACGTCCCGCGCGCGGCGTCATATGCGCAACCGATAATAATGTTATTAATCGTTCTGTTTCCGAGTCATCGCCCCGTTTATCAATAATTATAGAAATGTTCGAAATCCGCGAGCTTGAAACCCATCGTCTTCTGGAGAACGTTCACGGTGAGGGTGATCGCGATGGACTCCGCCAGATTGATGAACAATACCTGGGATAACAGCGACTGGGAGCGCGTCAAAGAAAAAAAACCAACCAAGGTCCCGGACTTTTACATTCCCAAATGCCCCGACGCCGATAGCAAACTGACCGCCCGGTCTCCTTCCTTTTCCTCTTGCACCTCTTGCTCTTCTTCGTTCGAGTCTGCGCTCGGTACCTCTATAAGTGCGAGAACGCCGGTCTCGAATTCCGGATGTTTATTGGATAAGCCCGCCACCGATGCGGCGATAAATATCTTGGAAAATGCGTTGACGTGAGTTTTAGAGCTCCGGACGATACACAGGCAGCTGATTATTTTATGTTTTATAGGGAGATATTGCAAGGCGACGATGAAGTGCTGCAGATCAAGGGCAAAGCATCGAACTTTACGTACGATCTTGTACCAACCAATGCGTTAGAAAGAAAAGATGTGATAGACCGAGTCAATCTCTCGGGTTCTCCTGGTGCGGCCGAAAAAGTGTTGAAGGAAATAATCTCGGAAAATGTGCGGGAGGAAGATACCGTGCTACAACAGAAAGCTAAGGGAATAGCGTCGATTTTTCATACGCACGATCGGTTATCAACCAATTCGGTGGAAAAACATCCGTTGAAGAAGCGAGTCAGTCTTCCTCCGGCCAAGCCAGTTTCACCCAGATTAGCCTCAAGTTTGCAGTGAGTAATACAACAAAAAATTATCTCGCGAATAAAGAATTATAATAATCATAAAATTGATATTTTATAATCTTAATAGCTCACGTATGAAATCAATAAATAATTTCATTGGGGATCAAAGACGAAGGTGGACTCACTGAATTGACACTATACCATCATTTTTCGAGCTTCGGGTGTGTTTTTATTTTTAACGACCAGAGTTAGATACATAATTTTGCGATAAATAAATTTTTATTGCAATTTTTACTGCTGCGCGTGGAATGAACTATAAAGCGCAACAATTTTCAATTCAGATAAAATAATAAATAATTTACAAATTTAAATGAAACTTCGAACTCTTCATTTTCGACTATAATTTATACACGAATCGATTCGCCTCGATCGTATGCGCAATCGATGCAGCGGATTTATATGCATGCGCCAATTTTTGCGATAACCGACTCCGAAGTCTGCAAGTAAGTCGTGAATTTCACACACGTGTGCTGTCGTGTGCACTGTGCGCTCTGACTCGAGCGCCGAAATAGGCTATATTCGGAGGAAGAAGCAGAAGCGCAGTTACCTCTTTCAGTGTACAGCTATATGATACATCTGTTGCCGCTTTTACAACGCGTGTACTGACACGCCGTTTTATTGAATTTCGTCATCTAAGCAATTTAAGTCAAAACTTATCAACATGGTGAGAAATGGTGACATTTATCTATTACAGAACACTAGAATCTATCGTTGAATGTCACATAATTTTGCGTACTTGCTAAATTATTTTAAAGAAAAATAAATAAACCTAACCTTATGTTTTACTTGAAATTTATGTATTTAATTTTATTCCGATGTGACATTGCAGCTGTGAATCGTTTTTGCTATTATTTCTTTCCAATTGGATAAAATTGTTTATTTAAATATGACAAAATTACTACTAGGCAGAACTGTATCATGTATGTTTAAAAAAAATTACAGGGAACAGAGAGGAAGGGTACGTTTAAAGTTCAATATTTACAAAAAATTGAACACGATGCACAGCATAAATGGGAAGCGTCAAAAGCATATGAAATGGATGCACCAGCTCATCCTAAAAAGAAGCCAGATGAAAAGTTTTTAACTACTTTTCCATTTCCTTACATGAATGGAAGACTTCATCTTGGTCATGCATTTTCTCTTACTAAATGTGAAGTAAGTCAATGTAATATTCTTATTTTATAAATTATAATTTTTTATTTTATTGACGTTGATTTTTTCTCCAGTTTGCTGTGAGATACCAACGCTTACTAGGCAAAAATGTTCTTTTCCCATTTGGATTCCATTGCACAGGAATGCCTATTAAAGCTTGTGCAGATAAATTAAAACGTGAAATGGAAACTTATGGCTATCCACCTAATTTCCCTGAATTTGAAGAAGAAGTGGAAGAAGTAGTTACTGATGTAAAAATTGTTGATAAAAGTAAAGGAAAAAAGGTAATTTTTATAGATTATTAATACTTGTTTATTTTCCTTTTTTTCAATGTTTATTTATCATCTGATTTTTTGTAGAGCAAAGCTGTTGCCAAAACTGGAAAAGCAAAATACCAATGGCAAATAATGCTCAGTTTAGGATTGAAGGATGAAGAAATCAAAAATTTTGCAGAAGCTGAGTATTGGCTCGATTACTTTCCACCTTTGGCTGTTCAAGATTTAAAACAATTTGGATTGCATGTATGATCCTTATTTTATTTTTGAAAATTGATTTTAATTGTACCAATAATTATCATTAATTATAATTTATGTTTTAGACGGATTGGAGAAGATCATTCATAACTACAGATGCTAATCCTTTCTTCGATTCATTTATAAGGTGGCAGTTCTGGCATCTGAAAGCTAGAAATAAAATTGCCTATGGCAAAAGGCACACAATCTTTTCACCAAAAGATAATCAACCTTGCATGGATCATGACAGACAAACAGGTGAAGGTGTTGGCCCACAAGAGTACACCATAATTAAAATGAAAGTGATGAAACCCTACCCAAAAAAATTACAGTAAGTTTTATGAGTTATTATGAAAGTTGAAAGTTTAGTTTCTTACTTGCAATTTTATTTCAGATGTGTATCAGATGACACTCCTATTTATTTGGTAGCAGCCACTCTTAGACCAGAAACAATGTATGGTCAAACTAATTGTTGGGTGAGACCTGACATGAAGTACATTGCTTTCTCTACAATCAAAGGGGAAGTGTTTGTGTGCACTAAAAGAGCAGCGCGAAATATGTCTTGGCAAGGATTTACTAAAGAAGAAAATAAAATTGATATTATTGCTGAATTAGTTGGATCTGTAAGCACTATAATTGAATTTTGAAAAATTACTATATTTACAAATTGATTAACTTTTCAATGACATTTTAGGATATTCTAGGAATTCCCTTGAAATCTCCAAAAACTTCTTATGATGTAATATATACCCTTCCAATGCTCACTATTAAAGAAGATAAAGGTACAGGTGTTGTTACATCTGTACCCAGTGATGCTCCTGATGATTATGCAGCATTAACTGACTTGAAAAAGAAACAGCCATTAAGAGAAAAATATGGTATCACTGATGAAATGGTTTTACCTTATGATCCAGTGAGCTCTTGTTCAAATTATTATTACTTAATTTTGTTTTGATCTTAATTAATTTAATATAATTTTTACAGATCCCAATAATTGAAGTGCCAGATTTTGGAAATTTATCAGCAGTTACTGTTTGTGAACAACTCAATATACAGTCACAAAATGATGCTGTCAAATTATTACAAGCCAAAGAAATGGTGTACTTGAAAGGATTTTATGACGGTGTATTACTGGTCGGTGAATATAAAAATCAAAAAATAAGAGATATCAAGAAAACTATTAAAGACGAGCTCATTAAAAATAATGAAGCAGAAGTTTATTATGAACCTGAGAAAAAAATCATGTCAAGATCTGGTGATGAATGCGTAGTTGCTCTATGCAATCAATGGTATTTAGTTTATGGAGAGCCTGAATGGAGAAAACAGGCTGATCGAGCACTGGAAAACTTAGAGACTTATCATGATGAAGTGAGGAAAAACTTCAATGCTTCCCTTGATTGGCTTCATGAATATGCTTGCTCAAGAACCTATGGTTTGGGTACAAAGGTACCATGGGATCAACAATGGCTAATTGAATCATTGTCAGATTCAACAATCTATATGGCATATTATACTGTAGCTCATTTAATTCAAGGAAATAGTTTCAAAGCTAATCAGCCAAATGCACTGAACATAAAGTAATTATTTGAAAATAATTTTAAATCATCATCAAATTATATCAAATAATAATTTATTTTTTAAATAATTTAGGGCTGAAGATATGACTTCTGAAGTTTGGGATTACATCTTTTTCAAGGATGCAAAATTACCTTCTCCAAAAACTTGTAAAATTCCTAAACAATCATTAGAATTAATGAGAAGAGAATTTCAGTATTGGTATCCAGTAGATTTAAGAACATCAGGAAAGGATCTTATTCCTAATCATCTTACCTATTATCTTTATAATCATACTGCTATCTGGCCCAATGAACCAGAAAATTGGCCAAAAGCAATAAGAGTTAATGGTCATTTACTACTTAACTCTGCAAAGGTAAAAAAAACTGATTTATTGCATAATTGATAATGTATAATTTGTAACAAGTTATGAATTATTATTATTTTTTTTTTAAAGATGTCAAAGTCTGATGGAAATTTCCTCACTCTTTCCGAGGCAATAAGGAAATATTCTGCTGATGGTACAAGGTTGTGTCTAGCTGATTCTGGAGACTCAATAGAAGATGCTAATTTCGTAGAACGCACTGCAGATGCTGGTGTTTTAAGACTGTATACATTTATTGAATGGGTAAAAGAAATTGTAACAGCATCTCCCGAATCTTTTCGCCAAGGAAAGTCTAGCACATTTAATGACAGAGTATTTGAAAGGTAATAAATGTTATATTTTAATAATACCTACTGTAATGAACTACGAAATTTTATTATTAACTTTTTTTTTTAGTGAAATCAATTTAAAGATTCAGGAAACTAAAGAGAATTATGATAAGATGCTTTTTAAAGAAGCTTTGAAGACTGGATTTTACGAATTACAATCATCAAAAGATAAATATGTACAATTGAGTTCATTAGAAGGCATGAATCATGAGCTCCTAAAGAAGTTTATAGAAGTACAAATTATTCTTTTGGCACCGATATGTCCACACGTTGCAGAACATATTTGGAACTTGATTGGAAAGGTATTTTTGTACAAAGTTTTTTCATGACATTCCTTTATTTATAAAACAATAGAATTAATAATTATGTATACATTTTAGAAAGGATCTATTTTGGATGCAAGATACCCTACTGCTGGTCCAATAGATAAAATTTTGATTGAATCATCTCAGTATCTTATGGATGCTGCTCATTCGTTTAGAGTGAGATTGATCAATCATACTACTGTTAAAACAAAAAAACAAAAGGGTCCTGTTGCTCCAATTGAGAAACCTACTGTAGGTACTATTTATGTTGCAAAAACGTGGCCTGCTTGGCAGAGTTCAGTTCTTACATGTATGAAAGAACTATACATGGTGAGTTGAATTAATTTACTATGAAATCATTTGAATGTATTATGAAATTCGTTGTAACAATTCATTTTAATTTTATCTAGAAAAATGGAAACTGCCTCCCAGAAAATAAAATTATCGCTGCAGAGTTAGGCAAAAAAGCTGAATTGAAAAAGTATACTAAGAGAGTGATGCCTTTTGTTCAAATGACAAAAGAAAAAATGGAAGCAGTTGGAATTGGTGCTCTTAATCTTACACTTGACTTTAGTGAATATGATGTTTTAACTGGAAGCAAAGAATACTTGCGTAGCACACTTGATGTACGTAAAAATTATAGAAACTTTTATTTATTTTGAAAATCTGCATGCAATTAAAATTAACTCTAATTTTTTCTTTGCAGCTTGAAAAATTAGAAATTAAGTATTCTGATGAAGCAGATGATAAGACGAAAGAAGAATGTTGTCCAGGAGCTCCTTACATTGCTTTTTCTACTCAACCAAGTTTAGATTTATATTTTAAAAATTCCCAAAAATGCGTTGGATTGTTTTCTACAACGATAAAAATTTCTGATCAAGATTCAGTAAAGCAAGTCATTGCTAAGCTGGCTAAAAATAGGAATATTAAAGGTAAAATTTTTTGCTCCAAAATTTGAAAAAATATTTTCACGTGGTTTTATTACATTATTTTTTCAACTTTTAGATCTCTCCACCATAACTGTATATCGTCATGAAGATCCAGTTCTAGGCCCACGATCAATTCCTTCAAGTGAGAACATTCTACGAGGAATGCAAAGAATACCAGATGATGCAGTATTCTCCGTTGATTTTGATAAAAATATAATTAACCTTCTCATTAACAATACTGCGCATCATGTGGGAATTGAGGTTGTCTATTGTATAGACTTGTAGATTTGGTTATGCTCTAACATAATTAAATAATTTATTTATTTTGTTCATGGAGCAAATGTAAAGTATTAACTTGACAATTGAATTGTATTTTAGATAACAATTTAATAAAAACACAATTTTTAAAATGTGAAAAAATATATATTATCTACCATTTACAAAAGTATCCGGAATCCGTCGAAATACAGCTAAAAATTTGTCTCCCTTGTTTCGTGTTACTTTCTGACCTTCTTCAGTACTTTCGTACAACTTTTCTACAATTGGATCAGTAGTCAACTCGTCATCAGGAATTCTTTCAAAAAGAGGATGTTCAGTTAAGTGTTTTACCATCCACTCATGCAAGTCTTTGACATCGGTCATTGTATATACAATAGCCTAAAGAATTAAAAGTTCATAAGTAAAAATGCTTGGGTAATAAGTTTTAGATAGGATTGTATGAACTTACGCCTTCTGCTAAGATGTACGCATATTCAGCTAAAAGGCATGGGTTGATAATGCGCCACTTGTGTTTAGCCTTCTTGAAGTGTGGATCAGGATACAAGAAGAACATTTTCTTCAATTGACCTTTCTTGAAATAATTTGGCAAATATTTCATAGCATTCGTTCTGATGCAAGCTATGTTTCCATATTGTCCAGGATGCAGCAAGCGCAAAGATGCAATTCTATCCATAACATAGTCTGACACTTTGACACGAATTTCCATACCAACCATTAAATTGTCAGGAAACATGGTAGAAAGAGTTACTGGAATGATAAATAAGTGTGTAATTAGTAATGTTCCAAATTAAACTATCTTGAAAACTTGAAAAAGAAATATACCAAGCAATCCACCGTATCCACAGCCAATATCTGCAAATTCAACAGGTTTGGTAAGCTGTTTTGAATCATCCTCTGCATCTTTGACACAGAAATCTGGATACAACGGTGTCCAATCCATTTCATCAGGATTATTAGGGCTGCACAAAAATTATACACGTTAAAAACAAATGCACAAAAAAGAAATAGTTTATGGGTAAATTGTAATGCAAGTTTAAACTTACTACTCTATGCAGTGATCTGCAATCGGATTGGAATGGGCGCGTTGCCGATAATACTTCTTTTGAGGAAGCGATACCGCCGTGGTATCCATCGTTTCCATTTTGAATTATAATAGAAATAAAATAATCACGAGAAACACAACCAACACCACTACCGGCTTCCAGCGGCCACGAATAACTCACTGTTAAACAGCACAATCAGATAATTATTCTCAACGAAGCAGCTGGCCGCCAACGAATGTTGACAAATTCAAACGAAAACAACAGACAAATCACACTGGAATTGTCGTCGACACAATTATTAGAGGTTGTAATGAAAGCACGATGCAGGGCGACCACGCGGTCGTCGCCGTATGCATTTGTCGTCCGCTTCGTTCTCGTGTAGGCGGTGCAATGGTGGGGGGGGCTTGAAATTTTTCAAAGCTCATGCGCGTGTCGAACAGCTGACCGCCGCCGCGAGCGCCACCTGCGCGGCCTCACGCGCAAACACGCGCGAGACTCCCTTTTTATACGATTCACTCTCTCTTTTAGAATTTCCGCGAAATTTATATATCTCTCTTCTCGTGCGCTCTCTCGGGGCTATCGTGATTCGTGTATCTGCGATCTGTCTGTGTGTGCCTCTCTTGCTCCGATACATAATAATATAGTACTCGCGCTGTTGCGACAAAAAAGCTCATATCTCCCGAGCGCGAAAGCGAATGCGAAGCGGGGTCGCGACTCGATTCGGTTCATATTATTATTTACGCGCGGAGAAAGAGAGAGACCACTCGTGTCAAATGTGAACGAGATAAAAGTCTAGTCTCGGGGTAATTCTGATTTTTTTTTCTTTTTTTCCTCCTCTTTTTCGCGCAAACACTCTGCGTGTTCTGTCATCACCTAACCCTGCGCGCAACTTGCCGTTGTCTCGCATGTACAATGCACAAAAGTTAGTGCGACTGCGAGAGTAGCATTGCAACTTCGAGCAACTGCATCCCCCCGCGCGCGTGTGTGTGAACTTATGTGCATCGATATACGTACATATAATCGGGGCAATTGGCAAATCGCGACTACTACTCGCTGCGTCGAGTTTGTGTTGTAAAAGTCGTGTGCGTTGGAGCAGCGATCAATGTGTCTTCCGCACTCGGCAGCAGCTTTCGGTCGCCCCTACGTCGACGTCTCTCTTGCAGTCCTCTACAGAACTACAATATAATCGCGAAGTGGCAGTGCATAAGCTGAAGCGCGAGTGAGTTTTTTTTTTTCGGTTGTTTGTATCATCCGCACGCACACACCCCCGCAGTGAGTGCCCTCGAGACGAGAGATGTGATCGATCAGCGAGTGTGTTGATATAACGTATCGCATAACAAAAAGAAGAAGAAGAAAAACGCAAACGTTTTGTCGTCGTTGAATATCGCTGCACTGCTTGCTGCACCCCCGACAATTTTACACAACTCTATAGCCGTGCTGCAGTGCTGCAGGTTATGAGGAATAATACATCGAGACTTGCGAAGCAGGATAACGAGCTGTCTTCGCCGTTAATCAGGTAGGTGCAGAATTTTATTTTCTCTTTGCACAGTTGCAATTTCGAACCTCTTTTTTTGAAAATACAAGGGTAATTACGAGGTTCTCTCTTCAACGATCTTTTTTTGTTTTTTACTCATAATACACTTTGCGAATTTTGTTTTTTGTCGAGATGATTGGAGCTTCGCCCCCGCCAATCATTGTGTCTTGTTTTTGTCTGTTTATTATCGCTCCCCCTTGGTTCATTCACGGAATTGATGCATATATTTTTACACGACTTCATCGTTGTTATTCGTGATGCTCGATATTAGTCACCGTAATATCATCGGTTGATAGTTTTTTTTATCTCTCTCATTTTTTTGTGCGCGTCGAGCAGCACACAAAGATCTGACACTTCCTTTTTTTTTGTTGTTATCATAGACTTGCTCCGTTCATGCAGCACGACCCGTATTATATGCATCGTGGATCAAATTTTTTTTGTTTTTCAATTTTTCCACACTCGAGTACTGGTGTGTTTTGTGCTGCTATACGGGTACTCGATGCCTTGGATTTTTTCCCTTTTTTGATTTTTGTGGCTATCTTGAGACCCCAAGCTGATTCGAGCAAGCTAGAGCTTAATTGAGAGGTTATACACTTTAGATCAATGCATTTCGACACCACTAGAGAGGAACAAGTTTTTTTTTTATTGCAAGAAGATGCCAAAACATAGGAAATAGCTTTAGTAGTTTGAAACATAAATTTTGCAGTACTTATATCGACGTCGAGCGTCGGAAATAAAGTTTTTTTCCAAAAATTTTACGAAATTTGTCACACAACGACTTTTCCGCTTTTTCCTTATGTGCTTGACCACGCAGCTGTACATCGATTTAAAAATAGAGAACGTGTCTCAGTTCACAAGTCAATATTCTCGTTTAAAACCAAAATTTTTGATCGCCGACGAGCTCAAAGCGAGACACACTATAAATAGTCGCGTGTGTGCAAATTATGCGTGCACGCAGCAATGCATATTCAGGCTCATCATTGTGTGCGTGTAGTGGTGTGTACGCGCGCGAAATTTTGATATTTCGAAGATGCGCGATTTACTTCGCGACAGAGAGAGAGAGAGAGAGAGAGAGAGTGTTTAAAATTGGCACTGGTTTAACTCTCTCTCAGTCCGTGTGTGAGGTCAATCTCTGCTACAAATAAATTTTATCGTGCCTCAAAATCGTCAAAAAGATTTTTCCCCCGCGTGACACTGTCCGTCTACGTTGTATGTTGTAACGAGGCAGAGTTGCATCTCTTTGCGCGCGTTCACGGCTGCGGTGCACGCAGCTCTCGCAAATTGCGCGCGCGCGAGAACTTATTTATCGTAAAACGATATTCGTATGTAATTTTCTGATAAGAGCCGCGAGACTAATTTTAGCGCTGTAAATCTATTCCGGATTGCGCTCGCCGCCGCCTTGGACGTCAGTGAAATAAAATCACTAATATACAAATTTTTAATCGACTAGTCGCGTTTGACGTAATAAGAAAACGAGTAGGAAGTTGTTGACAGTTCGAGCGTAATGGTAGAGTAATGAAAATCAAAACAAATTTGGAACATAAATCTTTTCTTTTTTCTCCCAATCAATTCCTAATGCAACGTATTCAAAAATTGCAATTCATTGCCTTTATCGATCTCTTATATGGGTAAATCCGTCGAGGACAATCGTTTTTATCGCAAGCTCAAATAATTTTTTTTGATAAAATTTCGATGAGATCAAAAAGTACGTGACGAATTAATATTTCATCAAAATTACAACTCATGTATACGATGGATCGACTACTTATGCATTCGCGACGCGTACACGTACAACCGAAGATAAACGTCGTATACACGCAGAGCCAGCCTGAATGCACGCGCTTTGTGCTGCTGTTCCGCAAGTAGTAGTTGTAATGCCGCGCGCGCGGAAAATCGAACTAGGCGGAAGAAGGTCGCGGTACATAGAGGCAAGGCGTAATCTCGTTGCATTCAAGTTTTTTTTCAAGTTCAATCCTCGGCTCCGCGCGGCGGCCACGACGGTGACGGTGGCCGTGTATAGTGTCGCGCGAAACACACAACGATCGACGCTAGAGCGCCTGCGCGCGCGATAATCTAATACACGCGTGAAAATGAGCAGCGAGAGAAAATCGGTCGGTCGGTATAAAAGCTCGAGAGCGCGTGGAAATGTGGCGCTGCACGGCGCACGTGCTTTCCTCTCCGTTGCACGCCCTTTGAACTCGTAAATTCGCTCGATTAGACAGAGTGAAATAATTGCAAAAAAAAAGGGAGAACTAATGAGTCTGTGGGAAAAGTGGATTACGAGATTAAAAGCGATCTGTGCGCGCATTTACGTATCTAGAGAGTGAAGCAAGGCTTCTATAGATATATATCGTCGCGCCTGCAGGCAACCTTGAACCAAATAATACGCTCTCTGCATACGATATATACGACGAATGCAGAATACGTGCCTGGGCGCGAAGTCTCAGAAAACTTTATAGAATGTATAATATAAAAGTGTCGCACGCGTGGCTCGCATATGCGGCTAAAAATGCATCGCGTCGTTGCACGCGCGAGTTAATGTAGGCGCAAAAGAGAGAGATTCGCGGGCAATTTATCAGTTTTCGCGCGCACGCCCGCCCGCCAATTATTGCCAAGCCCTCGCGCTCTCGCGAGAGCGAGCGACGGACGCGGCCAATAGATCAACAACGCACATGTTTACTCAGCTGTCGTTTTAGTTTCAGCCGTTAGAGCTCTAGCCGGTGCATATACGAAAATGATAATAATAATAATAATTTGTTGCTTCATCCTCTTTCACTTTTTGCCCACGCTATACACGCGAGAGTGCATATGGATTTCATTCGTGACGGCGAGTGCGACTTTTTACATTGTGTTGCAATTTATTATCTTCGCTATATGTATGACTCTGTTCCTTATCTCAAGAAATAAAGAAATTATTTTTAGCGAGTAAAGTACATTATTATTATTATATTAAACTGAATTAAACTGAAAACGAAAAAAACCCTCGTAGAGATCTAATCTATTGAAGAGCTTTCAAGTATTTCCTTATCCTTGCGCTTTCATTTTTAATTTAACTGATTTCGGACTCGCGGACAGATTGTCAGGGAAAAAAAGAACTGGAGCATGCGCCTTGTCGCCCACAACGACGATGATACACCGCGATAGGAGTAACGCATGCCGATTCTCGCAATACTGACACACATTTTATTCGATATAGGGCATGAAAATGCGTATACCGACGATTCGAAGTTGTTCTATACATCGATTCATGTGTACTTATTTACATTCTCAGTATATTCTAGCTCGAATGTCAGAGAGAGAAAGATATACAGATGCTTTCAGCCCATAGCGATTGTTCTCGGCTCCAAAGCATCAATTAGATGTCGTCCTATGCATACCCAGCTTATTTTTCATTCATGAGGCTTAGGAAAAATCTGCATTCGCTCTCTCTCATTTTTTCTCTCTCTATTCACGTCACCATCGCGCGTACACAATAAAAAAGAGTTTTGTGCGCATTCAGAGACGCTAAGGAGGTCAGTAGTCGCTCTCTTTCAAAGTCACCGCCGCGCTAGAGCATGGACAAACGATCTACCTACCTAGGCGCAGATAAATCGAAGAACGAATAAAAAAAAGTTGAAAATTATAATGCATTAGTAGTACAGGAGGAGGTCTGCTGCTGCCACCGTCGCCTCCAGCAGTGGCTCGCTTTATATATATGCATGCCATTATTTTGAGTGCTGCACTATACACACACTCGCACACACAGCGTCCTATAACAATCGATCGTACGCGAGCGCGGCCGCAGGAGTCTCGCTCGCGCG